CTATAGAATTCTTATTGTAAATAAACTCTCTGTAGTCCTGCCATATAGAATTCTTATTGTAAATAAACTCTCTGTAGTCATGCCATATAGAATTCTTATTGTAAATAAACTCTCTGTAGTCCTGCCATATAGAATTCTTATTGTAAATAAACTCTCTGTAGTCCTGCCATATAGAATTCTTATTGTAAATAAACTCTCTGTAGTCATGCCCTATAGAATTCTTATTGTAAATAAACTCTCTGTAGTCCTGCCATATAGAATTCTTATTGTAAATAAACTCTCTGTAGTCATGCCATAATGAATTCTTATTGTAAATAAACTCTCTGTAGTCCTGCCATATAGAATTCTTATTGTAAATAAACTCTCTGTAGTCCTGCCATATAAAATGCTTATTGCAGATACATTCTGTGTACTCCTTAATCTGATTAGATGAATACAACATTGCCATAAACCCTCTGTGCTCTATCCATATAGAGATGGATATAAATAGACTCTAAATCAATAGCATAAAACATATAGCTTCCACTTCCATGCTCTGTAGGACAGGATGTTCAGTTGTTGTAGTGCTAATGGGTTTGGTTTTTTTCCAGTTTTGGTTTAGGGAGTTTTTGTCTAGTGTGAGGATTGATATATCACTGTATATAGTCAACAAAATATATAATTGATAAAAATAAAGAGAGTGAGAAAGACAGAAAAAGAAAGGTGTTGTTTCCCAATCACACGTATCTTATGATACTTATGATGTCGAACCGGGCATGACATCTCATGTTGAGTACATGGAGTAAAGTGGGCAGAGCACAGGTTTAGGGGCAGCACCCAACCGCCATCTGGTGATACAGTCCATGCAGGGTTGCAGAGGGCCTTCCTTCTACTATTAGTAGGTGCGAGGAGCAGCAGCAGCAACTCCTTGAACAGTCACAGATTTGTCATCGGGGAGAAGCAACAATCTTTGTATCTGTGAAAGAGCTGGGCTTACCGGCCCACATATATCAGTATTTCAGACAGGAAGCTAATGTGAGAGGGAGAAGGAAAATTATGTTTTAAGCTTCCTCCCTCCTTCAGTAAGGCTTCCTTCAACATCACACCTCATGGGAGCTGCAGTGTCAGGAGGGAGCCGCCCTGTAATTCTGGGGATCGAAGGACAGAAGGTAATGAAGCTGGGTGGAGAGAGGGAGATGGTGCGGGGAGGGTCTGAGGGAGATTAAGTTTGGAGAGAAAGAGAGATTGAGCTTTGATGAGAGTAGAAGATTGGGATGGAGAGGAAAGAGGAAGTTGGGGTGAGAGACTGAGATGGAGCTGGGTGTGAGATGGAGATGGAGATGAAAAGGAGAGAGGGAGATAGAGCTGAAGAGGAGAGGGAACTGGGGGTTAGTTGGAGCTGGAGAAAGGGAGACTGAGCAGAGGTGAGAGATAGATAGAGCTAGGATGAGATGGAGATGTAGTTGGAGAGAGGGAGATAAAGTGAGAGGGAGATGGAGCTAGGCGAGTGAGAAAAGGAGTTGGGCGAGAGAAGGAAGTGGAGCTAGGAAAGAGAGGTTAGTGGAGATAGGGGGAAAGAGGGAAGTGGAGCTCGGCGGAGAAAACAGCCTGTCAGGAGGGAAATATCCGGCTCTGATCGCAGCAGTGTCTTGCAATAAAGTGGTGGAATGGGGGCAGATCAAGTGGGCAGGTCCTTGGGGCCCAGGCCCAAAATTTCTAAAGGCAGCCCGGGCCCTTTAATTTCATGAAATATGAATATGACATATTTTGAATTTATGATGGAAGGTTAGAGGCCACTCAATACCAAATTATAACTCAGGATAACAACAGTTGCTGTGCACAACAACGCTAGCACCAATTATTTCTTATTCCTTCTTAGAGATGGTAACATTTAGCATCCTAAAATATTTACTGATTTTTATGCAAGTTAATATTAGTAATCAGTGCACATAGTATTGTTACCAACAATGTAAACCATATTCCTGCAGACAAAAAACATGATGCATTGTCTTTACAAGATGAGGGATAAAATCAAACTTAAACGGTCACTGTAAGCATCTTAGTAATACAGCATGTTAACACTGTAGCATGTATGATGCTAGCAAGCTGCTGGTGCCAATCCTTCCAGTTTAGAGCGGTCCATTACAAACCAAGGGTCTCGCAGGTGTCTTCAGCCATGTCCCTCACTAGCCATATTGTTAAAGCAGAATTTACACATAGTTTCATCCAAACTTGGAGGGTAATAAAAGGTTGACAACATCAGCTGACCTGCTCAGCCAATCAATGCCACCCAAACAAAGATAATATGGATATTGATAATGCAGAGTGTGTTCTTATTTTTAGCCATATGGTGAGCAAGGGGCTTGGTCTCTAACACCTGTAGGAACCTTGGTTTGTATCAAACAGCTCAAAAATGATTTGACACAAAACTAAGGGAAGGTGCCAGAAGTCTGATAGCATCATAACCACAACTAGCTGTATTGGTCATTATAGTGTCTCTTTATCTATGGTAACTGACTTGTGATACAGTGGTAATTGCAAGCAGTAAATTCAGTTTGTTATGTGTTCCACATTTTGTTTCTAAATTTAGTACAAACCCTTCAAAAACTTGTGCAGTCTGTTCGGGATTTAATATAAGGCAGGCATGGTAACGCCGGAGAACCGCCACAATGTACAGACACAGCCGTGTTGTGTAACTTCCTGCAAGGCTGGACGACTTCAACAGCAATTCTGCTTCAACAACACCAAGTTCATTTAGCAGCTGGAAGAGAATAGAGGGATTTGTGTAAGACTCCAGTGAAATTGGAGTTCAGCCAATCAATGTTAATATATTGGGAAAGAGAAAAGGATGTACATTACAAAGTACAAAAGTATTATAGTCTAAATACAATGGCCAAGGCATTAATAATAAATTAATAAGCAAGATCAGGATATAATCTACATGAACAGTAGCACACATGGGGCTTGTCTCCATGCCTGTTGTAATTATTTAGCGATAAGCCAGTAATTGCTAAAATTCCTGTTTTTGGTTTATGTAGTTTTCAATATATACCCCTGACATTTTTTTGAAGGATCACTAAGGGCACCACATTATAATTTTGTAGAAACTCCAATTTAGAAGATTGCAAAGTTAAAGGGACACTACAGTCACCAAACATATTTTAGCTTCATAAAGCCGTTTTGGTGTATAGATTATGTTCCCACAGTCTCACTGGCCAATTCTTTGCCATTTAAGAGTTTAATCACTATGTTTATGCAGCCATTGTCAAACCTCCCTGAATGTGACCTACACAGCCTTCCAAAACACCTCCTGTAAAGTGAGATCTAATGTTAACAGTTTTGTTTATTGCACAGTCGGTTTCATTTAAAATGTATAATCTTCTGCATTTTTAATAGCTTGCTCCTGTGTATGATTAAACTTCAATTTACAGAGCAGAAGATAACAACTTCTACAGTAAGTTACCATCTGATTTAAAATGAAACCATTTGTTATCATTCATGATGTGTGAGTCACAGCCAGGGTAGGTGTGGCTAGGGCTGCCTAAACGGAAACAAAAATGATTTAACTACTAAATGGTAGAGAATTGAGCAGTGAGACTTCAGAAGCATGATCTATACACAAAAACTGCTTAATTAAGCTAAAGTTATTTTGGTGACTATAGTGTTAGGCTGTCTTCCTGATAGCCACTTGAGGCACTTCACTGATGAGAACTGTCACGACAGCTAGTGTGGTCCAGCATGCAGAACCATGTAGCATCTACATAGACAGAACAAAAAAGGATAAAACGTAAACCGGTCCTTAGAATGGCCGGACTAATACGTTAAAGACAGAGGATAGTCAAGGGATAGCCAAAGTCAAGGAAGCCAGAAATACACAATATCGTTAAACAAGCCAAGTCAGGGAAACCAGAAATAAGAATAGCCCAGAATAGCCAAGGTCAATTTACCGGTAATATCAAAGACAGGACAAGAAAAGGCACTCTCGGGAACCAGGAACGGAAACCACGACAGGGCAATGAACCAGGGAACTTCAGCGATTTAAATATGCCTCCTCTGACCCCGGAATGTGCGTGTGAGTCAATGTCATACGCACATTTGTGCAACCATGGGGTGGTGTGGTCGGTGCCATATTTATTCAGGGCAGGTGGCCAGGAGGATCCGGTGGAGCAGCTCCCGAATCGCCACTGAGCAGGTAGGCTCAGTTTGATGACGCGGTTGCACCAGTCAGGTGCTTTCGCGGCGAGCCGGGGGCACGACAAGAACCAAGTCAAACTCAGTTCTCAATCAAATGCTGCTCCTATCATTAGCCTCCCAATGCTTCCTTCAAGACTGAGTTATTCTATTCAACACCTTAAAGTTCATTATGCTGATAGGTAAAATATTCATGAGTAAGTATAACCTCTCACGTCTAGTTAGTTGCAGAATGTACACTTGAAATAGAGAAGAAATGGCAGGCGCACAGTTAAGAAAGCACTTCTGTTCTCAATGTCACCATGTATGTGTATTTTCAAACATGAGGATAATGGAAAAAGTATAAATCAAGCATCCAAACCACCAAAAAAAATACTCAGATTAATTACAATAGAATTCAGTGGAGAAGACACAAACTGTTAAAAAGTATAAATACGATTATTCCAGCTGATTTTCAAAACCCCATGATAAAATTGTAGCTCACTGTGTGTAGCTGATATTTATCTCAAAGCTAACAGAAGCCTTTCGTGATCACATTATATTTATTATCCACAAAGGCCCAACTTCGCAAAGCACACATAATTGTTTCACCCAGAATATATTAAATTAGCGAATCCATTAGCAAAAGCCAGATAGTTTCAGCTGTCCTTGTCTGTGCATCATTTCTAAAAGAACACAGAATTCTATAGTGTATTTGCATGAAAACACAATGAGTTTATTGTCTGGCTTCAGGCACAGTTGACTTCGTAAGACAACCTACAGAGCTAGATCGCAGTTATTTATGGCTTTGGAAGAATACAACTTTATTTTCTATCACCCAAGAACAACATCATACTAAGAGCTCTCTCTGTTACCTGTATTGCAAAATCAATAAGCCCATTGATGTTCAGAGCAGGTTCCATGAGATCAAAAATAAGTTGGACGTGGTGAGCCAAAGGAAGGTGGTAAGAAGTTCCTGATGCAAAGCTCGCAATTTGTTCCAGAATGTTACCAGATATCTGCAGACAAAATCCAATGGATTCTTAGAAACAATTATTTCTCAATCACCGGTTACTTTACAGGAATTTACATTGTTTCCATGGTAAGTTTGTTTATTTTAGAACAGGTAGAATGCAGTTGTAGCTAATTTAGAACAAAACTCTCTCTGTCCATTATATATCTGGGTTGATGGATGGTGTGGTATAGGTGTAATAACTCAGTGCTTGATTAATGTCTACTTACCTTCAACATCTCTGGTTCCTGCTGAAACTATAGGTCAGCCTTCCGAGATTTATATCCATTCAATAATATTATAATTAGTAGCCATTACATGATTCAAGAAACTGGTAAAAACTAATTGTACATTTCAGGTTATACAATTCAAAATGATATATTTGTTACTGTCTATATTTGTGTGTCTATGAATGTACCAGCAATGGAAGGTTATCTTTTCACTCAATATTTTGTGTATGGAACAGCATTTTGGTAATTTTTTCCCCCATTTTCTGTTTCTATATGGACACTCCTAAAGGATAGTTTGTAGTCTATGGTGTTTAAAGTATTCTATGTAGATGCTTAGGGAAAAATATAGTGTTTTAATTACTGGGAACATAAGGTTGCCTTGACTTTTGATATGCCCGTACTGCTACAACATGGGATTTGTCAAACCTTTGGCCATCTCATAGATAAACATTACGATTAAAACATTTTTAAAAAGTAGTTGTTTAGGTGAAAATTGCTACTTTTAAGATTTTTAATATTGTACTCCCTTCCCCCAAACAGGAACTCATAGCCAGGAGCCACCTCTCTGTCCATGCAGTTGGATACCATTACTTTTATATATGGTATAGATTTTTATACGATTTATAGAAGGACACTGATGCAGAAGAGAGATACAGAAACAACCTGGCAGATCTTGGGCTAATGACCTCTTAAAAGAGCATGCAACTGCAAAGATGATACTTGAAAATAATGATTTATCAACAAAACTATATTCAGGTGATTTTTTTTTAATTTTTTTTTTTTTAAATGAAAGGGTATTTTAGATGTGATAAAAAGGCAATCAGGAAAACTCAGAATTAGTGATTAGTAAATTCACTACTTGGCAAGCATTTTCAAGCTTCCGCTGAGAGGTCCTTAGCTGAGTCTGCATTGGCATCATTAGAGATAGAATTTACAAACCAATAAATCTTGCTGATCAAGACTGGTCAATAAATTAATCTAAGCTGAGTAACTATGGGACATGGTCAATATACTTAGAACTGATTAACAACAAAGTATGGTCTGGTTACAGTGGGTGTCCCCATTTGCAAAAATGGTCAAATACAGGAGTTTGAAACTCAGTCACATACCATATTCTGCCAAGATTTGAATAATTTGTGAATTATAATCAATATAATGTAATAGATAGCCTATTATAAGCAATATAAGCAGGGTATTATTCTCAAAACACTGTAATTCCGAAACCACTGTTGATTGTCGTTCATCATTCCTGACATTAGTCAGAAGCAAAGAATTTAAGGTTTATGCCTAATGTTAGTTTATCGGCCATTCAACCCTACTGCTCCTTTGATAAAGACTTTAAATTTTATAGTCAGACTATTTGCCTACAGCAGGGGTAGGCTACCTGTGGAAGTAGTCCACAGCATCTGGAGTGCCAAGGGTTGTCTACCCCTGGCCTACAGTATGGCCCAAACTATGGACCTGGATTTTGATAAATGATAGTGCCAAGTACCTGGGAGGTGACATGATGCTGATCGAAATATGAAAGCTGTTGCAGCCTCATGAACATGTTTTCCAGTGATGGGAATGACTCCTGTTTTCCTTTTCTTGTCTTCTGACCATCATCACCAGCTGCAAAATACAGTCAATAATATAGTTTACCTCAATCAAGATCAGAAAAAGAGAAAAACAGATGTGTGCCGCTGCTTGATAATATTCCTGCCTGGTGAATTCATATATACATGACAAACTACAGACAGACACAGACATATTCAGATTTATAAACAATAGATATTTATAGAGAGAGAGAGAAAGAGAAACAATCTTGCTATACCATATTAATATCCAATACTTTTTTTGCCAAGAGTTCCTAATATAAATTGTGACCTTAACATCAACAGCTCAGTAAATACAGTGTATATGATATACATTACAATACTGTAATGGGATAATTAAAACAATTCCTAAAATTAAGTTACATAATACAAATAGTTCATCAAAATCTTCATATACGTGTTTTCAGTTTTTGTTATTTGTCAGTTACCCAAACTTCTTTACATAAATATTAATATAGATCACTTGCCTGCTGGTTGACTTAAGTTATCATTTAAGCTACACCACAAGAAAGCTTTTTAACATTTTGAAGAGTTACCCATAATATAGTAGCCGGCATACAAATAAATAAAAATAAAACCATATAGCCATGGTTGGAAAAATAACCAACACGATATAACGTCTAAACTACCTTTATTGTATGTATTCGACCTCTCTAATCATCTTCATAATTCATAAGGAAATCATAACACATTCATTAATTGAAAATTGTACAAACATAAGAAACAGTTATCGTTACAAAAATGTATCTACATGATTTATTTTTTTCATAATGTCACGGAATTTAGTTAAAATATTACACTGTACACAAAATGTTGCTTATGATTTGTTTGTTAATATGTGCAGGGTTATTGAGTCTACTGTGAAATTATGGGACGTAACCAGAGAATTTAAAATTTTGGGTTAGAACAGCCAATCCAGGGATAGATGCGAGTTAGAAAATACATTCTATCACAAGTATTTTACCCTAAAATTTGAAATGCCCTAGTCAATGTCTTCCAATTTACAGATTAATGAATTAGCCTGCTAAATCCACATGGTTTGTTTTAAGTTTGTCATATCCCCACAATAGATATTTGCAACAAAAAAATTAGTTATATAAAAATGTATATATACTTAGTGTGCTATTTACCTTTACAGTGTGTTTGACATATAGTGTATATAATTATTGTAAATAATCTAATGTAATATAAAACATACCAAGAAACACTATTTAAAATATACTTGGAGGAATAGTTGTTTTGTTACATTTTTTTTATTCAGTAGTAGTTTGAATAATTTGTATTTCATTTTGTTGGCTACTAAACCGAATATAAATTGCAAATAAATATATGGGTTATTCACTAAACCCCCGGATTTTGACTGGATTGACAAAATCCAGTGAAGATTACCTGATTCCGACAATAATGGCAATTCTTATATTTATTTAAGTCAAATACGATCAGAATTCGGACTGCCCTAGCGAATCTGCAGCAATTGCTCAGATGCATTTCATGTCTTAAATAAAATCGGAGTTTTCGCATGCGAATCCTATACAAAGTATAAGATTCGTAAGATACACAAAGCACTGATAAATAAATGAACAATATATTTAAATATTATTTGACAACTGACAGGGCTAGCAGCCAGTGGGCAAACAGTTTAAAAAAACCAACAAACCTCAGCATTGCTGGTAACTAGCCAGCCACCACATTAAAAAGGTAATAAATAGGGGGTGATTGAGTGGGGGACATTTAATGAAATAAATGGGGAAGACATCCTTATGCACCTCCTGCCGCTACCCATGGTTAGACCGTTAATTTTATATGGCTACTATAACATAATATTGAGGGAGGAGAACTTAATTTCCTATCCCAGCCATCACCTATTGGTGGCGGTTGAAAGCCCAAATATATTCAGGATGAGGAGTTAGGATTCCCCCCAGCTCCCACCCATAGGCAGTAGGTGGGGGCTCTAATTAATTAAACAATGTTGTATTTAACCCTCCCCATCTCCAATTCCCTAGAGTTTGCACTTGTTTGTTTCACTGTAATTGAAGTGATTCTCTTAAAGTGCCTCCATACATGCTACATATTGTTTTTTAAATGACAGAAATGGCTTTCTTTTAAGATCCTATATATAACTAACACAACATTAAGTGTGAAAAAAGTAAAAAAAAATGGTAGGAAAAAAATTATAAAACATTTTTTACATATCCATAGCGACTAAAGAAAAAAAAGAACTAAAAATAGATCCACATATTTTGTCTTGATTGTTAAATACCTCATAGGTCTATAATCTAAATAAGATTTTGGTAGTTAACGCTAACCCTATGCTTACCCCCTCATACGATACCAACCCTATCCCTAAACCTATGCTTGCTTACACTAACTAACCGTATATCTAACCTTAACACTATCTCTAATCCTAAAACAGCATTAACCCTAACCCGGCATTAACAAATACTTTATCCTAACACTAAGCCCACACTAACCCAAACCCTACAGTTTACCCTACCACTACAACTAACCCTAACCCTACTCCATATAAGACCTCTGTTAATACCAGTACTGATATAAGCAGATGGGCTTCCTGGTTAAAACAGTATGTGACCGCCATCTACTGGCTGTAATGCTGAAACTCCAGCATGATTTCTCTTTAAATTACATTGTAATCTGGGCTGAGCAGGTGACAAAGTCCAGCACCAATCACAATCGGCATGGTGGCATACAGGGAGATCCTGCAGGATCTGTTTACTTTCCATCCAATTCTGTTTCAAAGGATTAAAAAGGCTGTATGCAGTGCTTACTACAGTTCATGTGTCAGTCTGTAGCCACTAAATGTGGACCCAATTGACAGAAGGGAGCCCCTTCAATTGATACCTGGGGTCCACTGGCGCACACACCCATTTTTTGAGGAAGCACACAGAGGGTTGGAAGCTGTGCACAGCTCCTCACGGCGCAGGCCAGGAGGAGGTGGGGGCCGTGAGGAGTGGGTCAATGGTTGCCATATGGTGCCCAGGAGGTGGCTGACTGGCTGGCTGGCCACCAGAGGGCACCCTGAAGAGGGAGTAAAAGAGGAGGCATCCTTGGGGGCGGCAAGAGAGCTCTGATGATGTGTTTCCAGGTTCTCTCAGCTCCCTCGTACGTCCTGTGTAATGATGCTAGGGAGCCGGAATATGATGTCACTCCGGCCCTGGCATCACTACAAAAGCGCATGAGGGAGCAGAGAGGAAATGAAAGAATAATTTCCCACTGGATCCCAGGGAGAAAATCCTCACTGGATTACAGGGAGAGGACCCAGACTAGCTTTCCTACAGGTAGGGAGGCTGGATGTGCCTAAAAAAGATAAAATAAATAAAACAAGAAATAAAATGAATTTTTGAGTATGCAAAAATGTGTAAGTGTGTGTATCTGCCAGTGAGTGTGTTTCTGTCAGTGAGTGTTGCTGTCACTGGGAGTGTGTGTCAGTGTGTGTCAGTGAGTGTGTCTGTCCATGACAGACACACACGCTGCCAGACACGCACTCAATGACAGACACACAATCTCACTGACTTGAAACACTCACTGATGTCAGTGAGTGTTTTAAATCAGTGAGATTGTGTGTCTCAGTCTGTGTAAGAGTATGTTTTTCAATGAGTGTGTGTGTCAATGTGTGTGTCATTGAGAGTGTGTCAGTGTGTCTGTCAGTGAGTGTGTCTGTAGTGAGACACAAACACTGACAGACACATTGACACACATATACACACACACAATCTCATGGATTTAAAACACTCAATGACAGTCTGTCAGTGAGTTTAAAAATTAGTGAGATTGTGTGTCTGTCATTGAGAGTATGTCTGTAAATGAGTGTGCCTATGAGTGCTTCAAATCAGTGAGATTGTGTGCCTGTCATTGAGAGTGTGTGTCAGTGTGTCTGTTAGTGAGTGTGTCTGTCATTGTCAATGTGTCTGTCACACTCACTGACAGACACAACGACACACATATACACACATTGACACATACACACACAGATACACACATATACACACATACACACACCGGCACACAGATATGCACACATCAACATACAAATACAAACACATTGACACATACACACAGTCAGATAGACAAACTGACACACAGGTACACACACCAACAGATACACATACTGGCACTTACAGACACAGCTACAAAAACACACTGGCACACAGATACACACTGCCACATACACACACTGACAAATACACTAACAGCTACACACACTGACACACAGGTACACACACGACATACAAACACCTTGACACACATTTACACACATACATGCACTGACACACAGGTACAGATACACATTGTTATATTTGCCCTGATAATTTTGCTGCTGAAATTATATTCCTGCAGACTGTTTCTTCCAGTTCTCTAATACAGCTAGTGACCTGGATCCCTGGAGGACATAAGTAGGATAGCAATAGTTGAAAGGATTAATACGGGCACTGAGACAAGTAAACAAATATTTACTGACCTTGTCTATATGTTTGGCATTCTAAAGTATAGCTAATTAACTTTTTATTTGGTTCTAACATCATATTTTATTATGTAAAGGGTGAGATGGTGATAGGAACTTGATGTTAAACAAAAACAGCTTACATTGAAAAATGCCAAGGCACTAAAAGTAATATGGCAGTACATTTAAAGTTTATGACTAAATTGCTGTTCCCTATTTTTCTTTTACTTCTCTTTTCTCTAATATTATTTTCGGACTCCAACATTTAATTTTGGCACATTACACAATTAAGCAACATTAGCCTTTCAGAGTAAGGCCAGGAAAGCGTTCAGGTTCATCAAGACTATAAAAGTAACAAAACCGTCATTTACTATTCTGCTGTCACATGAAATAGAATCTGAAAAGCATTGTCTATGATAATTATCTGTACTTTGCAAGTTCCATTTGTCTTTCAGAGGAGCTACAATCAATATACAGGTAATTTATAATACATATGGTAATTTGCTAAAGTGAGAATTTAAAGTGAATTTTAAAGGGACACTAGAGTCACCAGAACAATTACAGCCTAATGTAGTTGTTCTTATGGGCATAGTCAGTCCCTGCAGACATTTTAATGTAAATACTACCTTTTCGTAGAGTGCCTTTTTGGAGACCCTGAACTTTACCCATAGAGATTCATTGACTCAATGCATCTCTATGAAAAGATGCTGATTGGCTAGGGTGGTATTTTGCCCCGCCGCACCTCCTTGGCTGAGATCATCAGAATTGATGATCTCAGCCAATCCAATGCTTACCTATGGGAATGCTTGTGATTGGCTGAGATCATCAATTCTGATGATCTCAGCCAAGGAGGTTCATCAGGCGTGGACCCGTGCGGTGCGAGAAAAAAGCTCTAAGTTTTCGTATTATATAAAGAGAGTAAGGAGGGACCACGCACCCTACATGTATTTTTTTTAGCACTACAGGAATAAAAGTTTGTGTTCCTGACCCTATAGTGTTTCTTAGCATAGCTGAGAATATTTCCAGTTTGGCTAATTTAAAGTTTAAACTTGATTTTCAATTCTATTTCTCAACATTTTGTAGCTGATATTGCTTACTCTGCACCTTTGTTTGTGATCAAAAAGCACGCTGTGTTTGTCTCATGCATATAGTATAATTGTAATATCAGTGTATTCTTGACCTGTTTGCATTCCAGAAAAGTGTGTATTTTTTATAATAATAATTTGTCCATTTTAGGTTGTAATGTTCCATACGGATTCCTAAAATAACGAAATCTGTCCCACACCCTAAGCCATCACTTTCTACCATGAACTTCTCCTTCCCAATATGACTTCTCAATTTCCTTTACCAACTTTTTCTCTCATACCACCACATGTCTTGTATCAGTGTGTAGCTATTTGTCTATGTCAATGTAAGTGTCGACTTGTCAGTAACCCTGCCTCACTGTACAGAAGTGTGGGATCTGCAAACTTAAAATAATTGGAATTTCGAAAATGTCATTGATATTATATTGATATATAATAAGTAGTGATGTCCCGAACGGTTCGCCGAACGATTCGCCACGGACTCATCATTGAGTAAACTTTGACCCTGTATCTCACAGTCAGCAGACACATTCAGCCAATCAGCAGCAGACCCTCCCTCCCAGACCCTCCCACCTCCTGGACAGCTCACTAAGAATGCAGCTTCACAATGAATGTAAAATGGATGCTGTCCAGGAGGTGGGAGGGTCTGGGAGGGAGGGTCTGCTGCTGATTGGCTAGAATGTGTCTGCTGACTGTGAGGTACAGGGTCAAAGTTTACTCAATGATGAGTCCGCGTGAACCGTTCGTGGCGAACCGTTTGCGAACCGTTCAGGACATCAGTAATAATAAGGTCTACAAAATTAACAGCAATCTAGAAGATCAAACTTAAAAGTAGTGTATGTACAGATGAACTCCCAATAAAATCAATCCTTGCATCTATTTTCTTTTAAAGAACAAGCAAAATTATTCGATTTACAGCAACAGTGTACTTTGTAGCTTGTGATGCATTTGTCCTACTCATGGACACTTGATTGAACTTGGGTGGAACTGCTCAGTAAGCACATATCAGCCAAACCACAGTTCCTACCAGTTTATTCAAAGCCAAGTACACAGTGTTGTGCATGGGTTTGTTTGCAGAAATATCCTAACCCATCAACCTGACATATGCGTCTCTGTGTCTAGGGCTGAGAGGGGAAATATATGCACAGCATCCGCATGTGCAATTTGTATGGTAAATGAGGAAGTGAAATTGCTTCTTTATTTCACAGTGAAAAGGGGTAGACTCATAGTTAAAGTAATATATGTAATTTGCCGCTGTGTGCAGTGACAGTCGCAGGATTGCACAATGACTTATGCCTGGAGCAAAGGTTATTATAGAGCTCAGAGTGACCCTTTAAGAATAAATATGGCACTTCATATTATATCTGCGTATGTAGGTCTAGGTAAAAATGTATGTCTCATGAAAGGAAAATAAAGTGATCTTCAAGTGACAATTTGTGACATAATTTGCCCAAAGTCAGAAGAAGAAAATATTCCACAAGCTGTATTTTCTTTAAAAATGTATACCGCTAAGCAAATCTAGTCATAATGACCCATGTAAATAATTGCCTTAGATGTAATGCACATGGCAAGTCTGGCTCATGTAAATTACATCTGGTGGGTATGTCCTTTTAATCAACGCATAATTGATTGATCCATGTGGATCACTTACAGTAAATGCAGAGCAGGGCTAGGATTTTCATTAAGTTTGCATCTATAACGGTGCGGTACATTTTCTACTTCCAAACACATTAAATAGAGGTTTGAAAATGAAACCATTAAAAAGAAAATTCCACTTGGGTGTTTTTACACTGCATTACTAATAAACTCACACATACACACCACAAGTGGTGAATGCCATATGCAACTTGTTATAATCAATGCAAATCGAATTACTGTTCTTTTGTGAAAGAGCCAGGCCAAAAAAGGAAAAAAAAAAACATCCAGCTATTTTTGCCCAACATTTTAAATAATTTAGTCAACTCCTTATACCTGTGTTTAGTGAATAACAATGTTTGTTATGCTAAATACATCTTCATCAATGTTCATATTAATATAATTTATTATTAGATTCTACGAACATGATTATCCATTAATTTAAGAGCATTAAATAGATTTACCATCAGATTCACTAGTGCTTGATTTGTTCAATATCCCCAGGAGGTCTTTGGTAATTTTTCGTAGCTGATGCCTTGCTTCATCTCTTACTCTGCCCACCCCATACAGCAGAATCATTCTCTGGTTACATTCATGACTGGAAGACTCTTCCTGTGAATGAAATAAAATTCAAGTTAGGTATTTACAAAGACATGAACTAATCAATGCGGCTCTGTCATTTCTCAGCATTTTATAAAATATTGATGCTGGAATTTAAAAGCAATCCAAAGACACCATAAGATAAAGTAGGAGCTATTGTGTATTACGGTAAAGCCTGAAGTTGACAAAAGTTGAGAAAATACCAAGCTTTGCGGTCAACTTTTGCCCAATTTCACCGTGATGTCACATCACGAGACATCATCTATGAAGGTTCCTCCATAGACCTCAGTGCTCTGCTCTTACATGTGTGTGAGAGTACAGAACTGACATAGCCCCTGGCAAATGAAACACCAAGAGCCAAAGTAGACCTCCAGAAGAAGATAGCAGCAGCTATGATGGACATCTTCGTGCAAGTAAACTACCCTCCACTGCACCTGCAACCACTGGTCTCTAACCAGACATGTCACTTTTTCTTTGGGGGTCAAAAAGGCAAAGTGACAGATCTGCTTTAAGCATTTTTACCAGTATCTTTGTGCATAAACTGGAGTCTCTGGACTATGGAATACATTTCGATGTCTAGCAAAGTGACATCCAACATTTTAGTATGGAAGCCTATATAATCCTGAAAAGCCTAGGCAGAGAAGCCAGAAAATTCATACTGAATTGTATAAAACAAGAGAAACTATGGATGTCTCCATGTTGCTGGAGGACAGTGCAACAACTTTCGGTTTGTATCCTGGCACAATGAGATTTTCTTAAAGACAACTCATTGATTGGATCTTCTAGGTTTATGGGGGTGCTCGGTCCATCTGAACTGTTGTAGAGGATACCAAGAAATTGTAAGTAGTTATATCATTGTATAACCTATACCGGTGACAATCCAGTTACTGCAGGCCAGAAGAAACTACTTTAAATGTCATTAGCAAAAGGACTGTACATATGCATTTATATTGCCATTTAATATCACACTGTTAATTCTGACAAAGTGTTCTATGTACACTAATGGAAACAAATACATGTAATTACTTCCTGAAATACTGGTTCAACCAACTATGTTATCAATGGCTTGTTATAAGTAATAATTAACCTACACACAGGCTTTATATATCTGCTGCCAAATCATTTACGGTTAGATTTGTAGTGATTTAAATAATAACCACACAATATTAAATAAGGCATACTGTCAAAGAGAAGTCAAATGAACACTCTGATGTATCTTTTTCTATATTATATGTTTTCTTTGTTGTTTAAGTTACTGAGCTCCCTTTTTAAAATAGACAATATTAAAAAGAAACAAACTTGCCTCTGGGAGAGACATATCACTGCACCGTGATCTGACCGATTAAGTCACCAATTCTTATGACTTTTGTCCAATTGATTCTTTTTAATAGTGAAGAATTGAAGATACAGGACTCGTGCATACCAAATGATCCATCAATCCAGTGCTTCTCTATGAAGCACTGAATCCAACAAGTCTCACAAAAACGCACTGGACATACAACCATCATCTGACTTCTGCACATTTTATGGATTATATTTTTGTTGGAAACCCTTAGTGGCTATTCATCTGAGGGCCACAAGAGGTGTGGAGGTTGCAGAATGTTGTCATTAGAAAGCCTGTAGGGCACGATCTATGCCCAAAAATCATTTCATCCTTGCTAACAAAAAATAATTTATTTTTGCATTAGGACATGCAGTAAAACCTACCCTTGGCCTTTACACTATCCTAAAACAATAAACATTAACTGATATACTACACTAACATTAAATATTGACCTACATTATCTTAACAGTTACAATGACACTTACTTTCCCCCTTTATAATACTGTAAAGCGTTGCGGAATAAGGTGGCGCTATATAAATACCAATAATAATAATAAAATTACTGTAACGTAAAACCGGTCATCCTCTCATTTATACTCTGCACCATGCCCAAGCCTTAATTAACCCGCTTTGTTAGAGGCCCAATATTTTATTATTTCAGCTTCAATTACCCTGCAACAATACAAATAAAAGAGGTGGGCACAGGGGTACAGCATGAAAATACTACTGTACTCCATGTGACAAATTTGATCAAGATGGTCATGTTTTGCCTACACGACTGAGTACATTTGCAATTTGATGATGCAGGCAGTAACTGTTGTCTTAAGGCCAGGTAAGGGAAACAAATTCATAGTTCATCTTCGGCACCACTCTCAATCCAGGCCTAACTTGATCACACATACACCAACAAAACAAACACAAAATAATTATATATGTGTAATTAACCACACAGAGACTTACATCTATTATTTTAAAGGTTTACTGTAGTAAAATCAAATATTAGCTCTAACAGAGCGAAAACTGGTTAACAGGTCCCCTGATACTTTGATGATTGCTTAATGAGCCAACATTCAATAACCAAATGTTAACATACAACAAATGAAATCATATAAATGATTATTTGCCTAGACTAAAAGGCATTATGGGTCATTTAAAACAGTGCCTCAATCGATTAACAGATGATTATATGATTTCAGCCACCAGTTAGAACCATCTATTCTAATCACTATAATAAACTTAATGCTATAGTTGAGGGGATATAAACAATTTAAGCTTTATGATTTATAGTTTTCAAGGAAGCATTCACTTTTAGTTAATTATGTTTTTGTCATATTGAAAATTTTTATTTGTAACTGGACTTGCTTAATTTACTTGAAATTATTAAGTAACATTATGGACCTTATATCTAGAAACACTGTATATGTTTGGATAATTAAGTAAATATAATAATTACATAATATCAAACATTTCCTATATAAATAAACACTGGTGAGCAAAACTCTTAAAAATTAAATATATATTCTAATTTAGATAAACGGGTTGAAAGGACAATATATTCTTAAAGGATCACTATAGGGTCAGGAACACAAACATGCATTCCTGACCCTATAGTGTTAACACCACCATCTAGCCCTCTTGCCTCCATAAATATAGTAAAAATCTTACTGTATTCAAACCAGAAGCTGTAAGTCTGCATGCTGTTAGACTCAGAAAAACAAGCAGTCTGCTGACATGTGGTAGCCTGATCCAATCACAGTGCTTCCCCATAGGATTGGCTGAGACTGACAAAGAGGCAGATCAGGGGAAGGGCCAGCATGATTCAAACACAGCCCTGGCCAATCAGCATCTCCTCATAGAGATGAATTGAATCAATAAATGTCTATGCGGAAAGTTCTGTGTCTGCATCCAGAGGGAGGAGACACTGAATCACAGGACTCTGTGCACAGTGCTGCCCTGTGCTCTGCTGACAGCAGATCTGAGTGGATGGATGCATATTATGCCTCCATCAACTCCAAAGTCCCTCTGGTTCACTCTGAGTGACTGCAACTGGAGGTGTTCCTAGCTTTCAATGTAAACACTGTATTTTCTCAGACAATACAGTGTTTATATGAGAAAGGCTGCAGGGAGCTATAGTTCTCACCTGAACAACCTCATTAAGCTGAAGTTGTTCAGGTGACTATAGTGTCCCTTTAAAGTTCTAACAAGAATTTGGAAAATCTTGGGGTTATTATGTAATTTTCAAAAGCTATTTGGAAAACCAACTTAATGACGGCATAGACTGTTAGCTGTGAGGGCCATCAGGTGAGGAGTAACGTAACAAAGAGTAACGTATGTTTGTGTCTGCAAATCAATGTTCTAAATTAATTATTATGAATTAAGATGAACACAGAATATAGCACTTTTATTGTCTCCATGTAGTATTTAGAAAAATAGCTATCAATTAAGCAATATCTGGCAGAATGACTGTATTTTTTATTTTTTATTTCTCTCTATAAGCATTTTTCTTTCTTGGATGAAAACCATTAAAATATAATTTAATAATATATAAATATACCGTTTGATTGTATCAAATCATTCATATTGCAAATACTAACCATTTTTTATTTATTTTTTCCATTACTTTATTCTCAACACTCGAATCTTAGAGAGCAAGGTCAACATCACATACAAATAATTTATGTCATTTTGGGTGTCCGGACACGAATACTGCAACAAAAAAAAGTGCTTGGTTTACGTGACACATAACATGGATTCCTTGATTGATTATTCAGGTATAGTATCACTTTCTCATTTCTTTAAATTAACTCCCCATACTTTGCTTAAATTGAATACTGTGTTTTGGATTTAATATTATGTGTGTAGAAAAAAATATTCTTTTTAATAGCTTTCTCATGTAAAAATGGCTTATCTTTTTACATCATATTAGAGAATTATTTAGTGTGGATGAGAGAGGGGTAGCTTTGTAGGGCTTGAATAAGGAATCAGCACAATTTAGCCACTTCCTGTGCATGCGGAAGAGGTACAGTTTGTCTTGCAATCATTATAGAAAACAATTACAGGAGAGTTTATATCAGTGGGTGCTTATAAGAAATATGATGGATAATTATAGCATCTACTGTCCCACAAAGAGAGAATTCTGTTCAGTCCACTCTAATATCCAGTATCTAGCCAAGAAATGTGTCTTGGTGACACTATCAGTATGTAAGGATGAGCAGAGTATATCTTGCTTAACCCCTTAAGGACTGAGGCAGTTGTGAAAGTTGTGATCACACAAAACATAAACAAAACCGTAATTCACTTCTGTCATATTAAATGCACCCGCACTTATTATATATCATTTTGTTCAGGGGAAACAGGGCTTTCATGTCACATCAAATACTTATATGTTAAGCATAATTTAATATGAATAAAATATAAAAACATATGAGAAATTAAGACTTTTTTTTTTTAGTTTTTAGTATTATGGCAGTTTAACTGTGAATGTCATAATACCATTAGCTGTTACTGCAATAAAGTACACGTTTGTATTCAGCGATATCTACTGAGTAAAACAGTACCCCCCGTGTGCAGGTTTTATGGTATTTTGGAAAGTTACAGGGTCAAACATATTACATTACGTTTATACACATTGAAATTTCGAATTTCGGGTAATTCAGACATTCGGGTACTTCCGATTGTCCGAATAGATGAATTGCCGAATTGTCGAAGTCCCAAAGTTCCGAAATTACCAAATTTCCGAAGCACAGTATTGCCTAAGAACTAATATACTTAGCCAGCTGAAGAATGTTACAATGTATACAATTTTAAATAAAAAGTATACAAACATAGCCAGGATTCAGCTCTAAGCATTTGCAACACTTACAACAATCAAGTAACATACATTCATATAAAATGTAAGTTACTTAGCCAGTCAGTGTAATGACAGGAATGAATAAGTAGATAACTCCCTAATTCCCAGGGTATTAGGGAGCTATCTACTAAAAGGCTGAAAGACCTAAATTCAGCCAAACTTACTAATACTAAGTAAAGATTACTTAGTATTAGTAAATTATGCCCCTACTCGCTATACTGCGAGTAGGGGCATGTCTATTAAACAGTGAGCAACCTATGGCTGCTCACTTTAAGAAAAAAAAAAAGCCCCCCCCCCCTCCCGAGCCCCCACCTGTGCTGCGTGAGTGGGGGCTTCTAACCTGAAGGGGGTACCTATTGCCCCCCCGGCCCCCACCCCTGAACGGCAGCAGGGGGCCATAAATACTAATAAGCGGGGGACTTAATGTCCTTCCCTCTGGCCCCCACCCCTGAGCAGTGGGTGGGGGCCCTACAGTAAAACAAGGGGGGGACTTAATGTCCTCCCCTTGGCCCCCACCCCTGAGCGGTGGGTGAGGGCCCTAAATACTTATAAGGGGGGTGACCTAATGTCTTCCCCCCTGGCCCCCACCCCTGAGCAGTGGGTGGGGGCCCTACAGTAAAATAAGGGGGAGACCTAATGTCCTCCCCCTGGCCTCCACCCCTGAGCAGCAGGTGGGGGCCCTAAATTGGAATAAGAGGAGGGACCTAATGTCCTCCCCCCAGGCCCCCACCCCTGAGCGGCGGGTGGGGGCCCTAAATACTAATAGGGGGACCTAATGTCCTCCCCCCTGGCCTTCACCCCTGAGCGGCAGGTGGGGGCCCTAAATACCAATAAGGGGTGGGACCTATTGTCCTCCCCCCCGGCCCCCACCCTGAGCAGCGGGTGGGGGCCCTAAATAAAAATGTTACCCCCCAGGTGTCTATGGGTCCCCAAACCCCTAGTCACCCCCCAAAAAAAATTAACCCCTACCTACCCCCTCACCCTAAAAATAATGAGGGGTGACCTTTAATTAAGTACCTGTAAAAAAAATAAAACTTACCATTTGATTTTCCCACGCTGTGTAATTTGACTCATAACTCTCTGAATGCGTACTTAATCCACCAATCAGAGTGTTATGAGTCAAATTACACAGCGTGGGAAAATTCCAAAGAACTTTCCCATGCTGTATAAAATGACACAGAGCACTCTGATTGGTGGATTTCAAGCCAACCAATCAGAGTGCTGTGACAGGTAAATGTAGAGACTTACCTGTCAGAGCACTCTGACTGAATGGCTTAAACCCACCAATCAGAGTGCTCTGAGCCTAATTGCAGGGCGGGGCAAGGCCTTGCCCTGCCCTGCAGAGCTCAGTCTGCGCGGAGCCCTCCATGGGTGAAGATGGATTATTTATTTTGCGCTCTTTTTTTATTTTATTTTTTTTAAGTGCGTTGGTTATTATGGTTTTTTATTTGGGCTTTTTGGGGGCTGAAAAAGGAAGATTTTAGAAGAAAGAAAACATCAAATGGTAAGTTTTATTTTATTGTTTTACAAGTACTTAGTTAAAGGCCTCCCCCTCATTATTTTTAGGTTTTAGGGTTAATTTTTTTTTGGGGGGGTGGGGGGTGACTAGGAGTTTGGGGACTAGATGACTAGGTCCCCCTTTAGTTTAAAAGCCCCCACTCGTGACATGGAGGGGGGACCCCACTCGCGACGTGGAGGGGGGACCCTATTTTTTATTTTATTGTTTTAACAGTGAGCAGCCACAGGCCACAGGCTGCTCACTGTTTAATAGACATGCCCCTACTCGTAGTATAGCGAGTAGGGGCAAAATTTACTAATAAGAAGTAATTTTACTTAGTGTTAGTAAATTTGGCTGAAAGACCAATTTAGGTCTTTCAGCCTTTTGGTAGATAACTCCCTAATACCTTGGAAATTAGGGAGTTATCTATTAAGCGGCTGCAAGAGAAGTGCCAAAGTCCCGAAATTCCGAAATGCCCAAGTTCCGAAATGTCGAAGTGCCGAAGTTGCCGAATTTCCGAAGTCCTGAATTTCGGAATGCCGAACCGAAAATTTTCCTCATGCACATGGCTAAAATTTGCCACACTGGTTATGGTGCCGTTGAGACCATATCGTAACCCAGCAATGAGAATTAACCCCATGATAGCATACCATTTGCAAAAGTAGACAACACAGGGTATTACAAATGAGGTTTGTCAAGTCTTTTTTAGTAGCCAGCTTGTCACAAACACTGGCCAAAGTTAGCGTTCATATTTGTTTGTGTGTGAAAAATGACAAAAACTAATTTGAACGCTAATTTTGGCCAGTGTTTGTACTAAATGGCTACTAAAAAAGACTGGACATACCCCATTTGCAATTCCTTGGGTTTTCTACTTTTGCAAATGGTAGGCCATCATGGAGGTAATTCTCATTCGTGGGTTACCATACGGTCTCAAAGGCAACATAACCAATCTGGCAAATTTCAATGAAAAAAAAAGGAAATTTAAGTCTTATATTTGACTCTGTAACTTTTGAAAACACCATAAAACCTGTACATGGGGCTACTGTTATACTCAGGAGACTTTGCTGAACACAATTGTTAGTGTTTTTAAAATAGTAAAATAGTATTACAACAATTATATCGTCAGTGAAAGTGTCGTTTGTGTGTAAAAAATGCAAAACACAGCACTTTCATTGACGATATCATCGTTGTGATATGTTTTACTGATTTTAAACACCAATATTTGTGTTTAGTGAAGTCTCCCAAGTAAAACAGTACCCCCCATGTACAGGTTTTATGATGTCCTGGAAAGTTAGAGTGTTAAATATAGGGCTTGCGAGTCAAATTCTCTGGACTTTCTACCTGGGTTGTCAGGCAGGTCCCCCAAATTGTAATTAATAAAATGACTTAATTATGTAAAAATATTAGAATTTAAATATATATATAGATATATATTTATTTATTATTTTTATTTTTATTTATATATAGCTAAATATATATATAACGTCATTCTAAATGTATTTTTAATTTAATATATATGTATATTAAAATCAAAATACAGTTAGAACAAATTTATACCTGTATATAATTTTAATTTTTTTTGTGGGTTCCTTCCGATCGCATGGCCCGGGAAGGCTGGATCGGGCAAAGGGTCTCTGCTTAAGCTCCCAGACAGACCCCAGGATCGCGACCGCCGTCGGGGGAATGGCGGTGATCCGGTGAGTACAAAGGACGTTGGGACGTTCTATGCTGCCCTCCGGCATTTAGAGCCACCCCAAAAAGGATGGCACAGAATGCCCGCAGTCCTTAAGGGGTTAAGTGTAAGTCCAATGAAAACCATAAAACAGCACGGTATACAATACTGATACAATATCTGTCTATCTCCTCAACAGAGAATGCAAAAAAAGAGATACCAAGTTTAGAGAAATGCATGGGAACCTTACTATTAGTGGCTCAAACTCAGTGAGAGGAGTTAGTTAGTTAGTTAATTAGTTTTCCAGCACCTGGGCAACTCACAGCAACACTTAAAAGGAAACTCCAATGCCTAAATACAAAAATGTAAAAATCACTTTTTAGCAGATATGATCCAAAGGAAAATAAGCAGGAATTTAATTATGCATTTTTTAATGGAGGGTATTTCTAAAACAGCTCGCAAAACCTGCAGATCTCATCTGCTGCCTTTGCAAGCCCTTCTCTTCTTCCCCAACCCAAACATTCGGTTGTTGTCCAATCACAGACTTCCCAAATTAGTTAAATGAGAAGTCTTTGCAAGGAAGGTGCTCTAGGCAATTGCTGCCTCTTTAATTAAGCTCCACTGAGCTAACCAAACCAGGAAGTGACCTGTTGACTGACAACCATGGGATGTGATTATTATTATAATTATTTATAAAGCACCAACAAGTTCTGTAACGCTGTACAATGTGTGGACTAACAGACACGTATTTGTAAACAGTCAAGTTGGACACACAGGAATAGAGGGATTGAGGGCCCTGCTCAATGAGTTTACATGCTAGAGGGAGTGGGGTATAGTGACACAAAAGGTAAGGGTAGGGTAGAAAAGTAGGTTGCTACGATAGTATTCACTGAGGGCTTAGTGTTTTGATGACAGTTTCATGAGAGGAATCAGGGTGTGGGGAGGGATAGCTGTTCACAGAATTTAACTGATATCCTAAAGAAATAAGTTTTCAAAGATATTTTGAAGGAGTGGAGATTGGATGAAAGTCTAACAGAGAGGGGAAGGGCGTTCCATAGGAACGGTGCAGCCCTAGAGAAGTCTTTAAGGTGAGCATCAGAGGTAGGATTACCTATATTGATTTCACTTGATTTTACAAATAGTCCTTGACAAAAATCTTTGAGAAACTGTGTTTTTTCAGTCTCTGCACATAATGTATATTATTTTTCATTTCTTTATTTAGGAGGTGGGGAGATCAATACAGAATTTAAATTCCACAACTTCACAAATCACATTGGTAATTTGAGTGGCTGTTCTAGAGAAAACCGTGTCAACCAAGTCATTTTTCCTGTTCTCTACTCTATCCTGTTCTTTGTTGGAATAATAATGAATGGCCTTGCGATTCGAGTGTTTTTCCAGATACCAAGTAATTCTAACTTCATCATTTTCCTGAAAAACTCAGTTATTTCAGATTCTCTAATGATTATGACATTTCCCTTTAAGATTTTAAGTGATGCAGGACTTGGGCTTTGGTCGTTGAAAGGTTTTGTTTGTCAAGTAACCTCTGTGATATTCTATTTCACAATGTATATGAGTATTTTATTCCTCGGACTCATCACTATCGACCGGTACTTGAAAACTGTCAGACCATTCAACAAGACAACCAATCCACTCTCGGCAAAGATTTTATCAGCTGTGATATGGATAGTTATGTTTTCGATTTCACTCCCCAATATGATTTTGACAAATAAGACACCAACTCCAAAAAATGTGAAGAAATGTGCCTTTCTCAAATCAGATTTTGGGCTAGTTTGGCATGAAATAGTGAACTTCATATGTCAATTTATCTTCTGGATAATTTTTGCAGTCATTGTGGTATGCTATCTTCTTATAACTAGAGAACTACTTCAATCCTTCAAAAGAACCAAAAGGGAAAAGACCAAATCCAGAAAAAAAGTCAATATGAAGGTGTTTATAGTCATAGCAGTGTTCTTTATTTGTTTTGTTCCATTCCACTTTGCACGGATCCCTTACACCTTAAGTCAAACCCGAGATGTCTTTAACTGCTCTGCACAGAACACTCTTTTCTACTTGAAAGAAAGCACCTTGTGGTTATCATCTCTAAATGCGTGCCTGGATCCTCTTATCTACTTTTTCCTTTGCCGTTCCTTTAGAAATTCTCTAGCAATGATGTGGAAAACAAAGAAAGTGTGTGGCACGTTTTACATAAAGCCAAGCATACTGACTCGTTACAGTAAGAGGACAGATGAAACACATATATAGTAGAAGAACGGGTGGAATTTAATCTGAAGTAGTCCTTTTTAGTTTATTTTCAGAACTGTTGCTATTGTATATTTTATGCATAGTGGAGAATAAAGAAAAAAAATACGGTGGCTATTTGACAGGTAAACACAGTGCGAAAAAATCCAAAGTAGTGATATTGAGAGTGTCCCTCTAAAATCAGGACTGTTTGAGGCCTGCATAACTAGTAAATTATGAAACATTATATTAATAAGCTTCACCTTAAAAACTGCCAAACTATCGAAAACATTTTACAAAACATATAGTCAGATTATATACATATAGCATATAGGACATTAGTCACTTAGCAGTTTTCAGTAAATTCCTTCTTGAAAGCGGACAGGGTCAGTGACACAGCTCCTGTCAAGCGGTTCTCCAAATAATTGCACAGATGAAATACCTAATTTAAGTATACAATTTTATTTTTATTCCATCACCCTGGTTGTTGCTTTTCTTTTATTAAAGTTTATTATATTTTCAAGGAGGAAAAATGCAGCAGTCTGAAGAAAGCGCGTTCTAACATCTTGCACTTAGATATATCAAAATAAAATTCGGGATACAACAATGTCTACATGGCATACTCCCAGTTACCGTACAATAAACACTGTCTGTCTAACACTAAGGTCACATGTATAGGAAGAAATGGAGCTATGAGGGGTATGTAGAAAAAGAGGAAGATAAAATGGTTAGGAAAGAGAGAAGTCTTGCTACTCTCATTAACCTCTTGGGAAAACCTTTGGATGATTAAAGGACATTCAGTAAGTGCCTGATAGTTAGATCACCTACTGCGTTCCAGGTTGGAAAAAAAACATCTTAATGTATGGCTTTGCTCTAGAATAGGCAAATGGTGCTCACTGTTAGGCAGCAGTAGTCCTTTGCTAATAGTTTGAGATGTGTGATTGCACTCTTTTAGAATCACAACTATAAATGCTCTATGCATTTCATGGTGTGGAATATAAATATCTTATTGTTTATTAAATCACTCATTCATCAGTCAATGTGGATATGCTATAATGCCTATTGAACTAGCAATGGCAGATAGAATATTTGTATTAAGGTATTTGTGTTTAGGATGGTAGCAGATACAGAATAAATTACTGGCAACCACAGACCATGCTGTTCATCAGGGCATTGGCCATGACAACCATTCAATAAAGTTACAAGAAACATTTCAAATGATGTGCATGACATAAATTACAATAGAAGTGACATAAATTATGTCATATGCATCACTTAAATTCATGTCCATGTGTTATGGCTAGTTCTTGGCTTTAATTTGGGAATGCCAAATAAATGAGGAACAAGCTGAAACTATGACAAAATAAAACAGAACATGGTTAAATAGAGTACATTAAAAAGCATGCCCTTGATAAAGTGGAAACTCACAAGATAGAGATGTTAAAAAATAATCCAGTGTGCCTACCTCCCCCCCCAACCCCCTGAAATACAGGGGCCAAAAACTCCTCCCAACACTCCGTTTAGTGAGTGATAATGTGATAGAAGGAAAGACAGGAACTCCAGCGGGTAAACTGTAGAAAAGGGGCCTTTAGAAAGAGATGCGTAGGACCACTTGATTTTGCTTTTATTTATTTCATTATTATCATTATTATTGCCATTTATAAAGCGCCAACAGATTCCGTAGCACTTTAAAATATTATGAGAGGGGGGATTTAACTATAAATAGGACAATTACAAGAAAACTTACAGGAACGATAGGGTGAAGAGGACCCTGCTCAAAGAGCTTACAGTCCATAGGAGGTGGGGTATAAGACACGTTAGGACAGGAAATATCAGTCAAATAAGGTGGGAGTGAAGCAGAGCTGGAGGAGAGAGTAAAGTGCTGCCCTTTAGGAGACAGCTATGTGAGGTAGATGTTCTCGTACGCGAGAAGTCCTGCAAGCGTGAGTTGGCCGTACGGGTGTGAGCAGCAGACAAGAGAAGGTCAGAGCAGAGAGACCGAGAAGGGGCATACCTATGGATCTGTGAAGAGTTATATGAGGGGCTAGAAGTGTTCAGTGCTTTATAGGTATGAGTTATCACTTTGAATTGACTCCTATAGGATAGAGGAAGCCAATGTAAGGACTGACAGAGGGGTGAGGTGTGAGAGGACCGACTAGAGAGGCAGTAGAGGCGGCAGCATTCATTACAGACTGTAGGGGCGCATTACGGCTTTTGGGAAGACCAATTAGGAGAGGGTTACAATAATCCATGCAGGAAATTACTAGAGCATGAACAAGCTCCTTGGTAGCATCTTGCATAAGAAAGGCGTGGGTGCGGGCTATGTTTTTAAGATGGAATCTACAGGACTTGGCAACATACTGGATGCGAGGCTCAAAGGTGAGGCCAGAATCAAGTATGACGCCAAGACAGCGTGCTTGCAAGGATGGCCTTATGTGGATAGCACTAATTTTAAGGGAGAGTGAAAGAGGAGGATCAGTATTAGGAGGAGGAAAGACGAGGAGCTCAGTTTTTTTTCCTAAAGCAACTTTTCTACCACTTTTGTGTAACACCATATTTTGGAGGAGTCACCCTGGATGCTTTTTTATAACCTCTCTATCTTGTGAGTTTCCACTTTATCAAGTGCCTGCTTTTTAAATTTACTGTATTACATTATGTTAGGTTTTATTTTGTCATAGGTTTAGCTAGTTCCCCATATATTTAGTAGATTGCATTTTAATAGAGAAAGATTTACTGGGGAAACTCCTTGGGGAAGCTGCTATTCTCTCTCACACCCGCTAACTACTAAAACATTTGTTTGGTGTTGGGAATTTTTTTTGGGGGGGGGGGGGATGTTCAGCAAATTGGACCCCATTTGCATTTTTAATACATATTATAGTAATAAAAAATTATTTCAATTTAATAATGAAAATAGTCCAACACGAATACCAACAATTGGAGAAAGGGATGTTTTGTATCGTGTCTCCAACTACGCACATCTGCCTAGTACCCATAAAAAGTAAATCTATTTAGAAAAAATAGGGAAAAAAAGCTGAATGCTGGCTGGGCCCTAATAAGGACCATGGAAGTTTGGGTTAGTACAATTGAAAGGTCCAAAGCTAAAAAGTTAAACATTATCTTTCATACCATTTTAGGGAAAAAAAGGAATGCCAGAGACCACTTTTAAGTCAATTTGTATTTAGACTTAATGTTTAAGTAACTAATGGTTCAGTGGTATTTTTTTTATATATATTAATGACCAACTGTACACAACTACAGCAAAACTGTAATCTGATTATTTTGATCATAACAATGCACAAACAAAGTGCAAACATGCTCAGTAAGTCTCCCATATATTTCCACTTCCTGATTTCTAATTGGCACTGCAGCACATGAAAAAAAATCTGAGGTAAATCTCTCTAATTGATATTAAAGAAAAATATGTGCGATATTTCCACCCTGGAGCATCCTTTTTCTTAGATTCAAGCAAATTTGTCAAGCCATGTCCTAAGGCCATGCACTGCAACTCGGGAGAGATGCCGACTGTACCTTCCCCATGGAACACACAGTCACTGAGGATGGGTGCCACCTGCACTGACTCCCTATGAGGAGAGGTGCCAACCAAACCCTCTCCCTGGTTCTCAATCTGCTGCTGCTGGTGAAGGATGCCACCTGCACCAGCTCAAAAGGTCATCATTCACAGTCCATGGGGAGATATGTTGATTGCACCTCCTCACACTGGAATTCACATTGTCACTGGGGAGGAATGCCACCTAAAATGACTCCCAGATGCACCCATTGCAGCTGGGGAGAGGTGACAAACACATCCTCTCCATGTATCAAACTGTGCTGCTGGAGAGAGTTATCACCTGTGGTTTCTGTAACCCATTCTGCCGCCACTCATATTCCATCGACCTCAATCTGGTGCTGGGGAGGAGTGAAATCTTCACCAACTCCATGAAGGTCACATTGATGTGGGAAACAAAGGGCACCAGGATTTTCTCCCAGTGACAATGCTTTTGCTGCAAGAAGAGTATTGAACTCCCACTCACCTACCCATAGCCTCCAGTTTGTCTGGTATTCCAATGTGAAATATAAAATAAATCAGCACCTGGTCAAAAAAACAAACAACCAATATTCCATATTTGCTAGGAATGTCATTCTGGTGTCTCTTCACAGTGAATCGCTAAAGGAGCTTTATGTCATAGAAGATAACAATTGAATGCTTGTGGGCTGCACTGTACATACTAAAGCCTAGCTGGCAAGCATACAAGCATGGCCTACTCCAGGGGTAGGCAACCTTTAGCACCCCAGATGTTGTTGACTACATCTCCCCTGATGCTATACCAGTATTATGGCTATAAGAGCATTATGGGGGATGTAGTCCACAGCACCTGTAGAGCTTAACATTGGCTACCCCTGCCCTTTTTTGTTAAATTCTATGCCTTGCCAAACCAACTCACTGACACAGCTTTAGTAAACACATTTCTCTCCACAACAGAGAGTCCTACAAATAGAAAACATTTGTTGTATTTTTTTTTTACTAGCAAATGGACTTGCAGTGTGTATAAACAACATATCATTGTTTATAAAGTGCTATCATGCCAAGTTTTGCATGACAGGTGTGAGGGGCATCTTTAATATTGATTGGACCCTGGGCAAGCACTTGCTTAGACTCCCTGAACCCTGCCCCCTCCCCCCCTCCACTCCCTGGCATGCAATCACACCCTCTGCCTCAACCCAGTGGCAGAAGTAATGTAGAAAGGATCCTGGTGCAAGAAAACTATTTGGGTCCCTCCCTCTAGCACAAGAGGGGTGCAAATGTAGAACCCATCTGTCGTTCAACTCCCACAATGCTATGCCAACAGGGGATCTATCATTTGGCCATCCTTGCAGGGTTGTATTTGTGAGCAGTGTTTGAATGTAAGCATGTTTTTGTATAGAGCATATGTGTGCATGTATGAGTGTATTTGTATGTACTGTTCCCATTGAAATGCTGTGATGTACTTGTGTGTAGTGTTTGCGTTTGATACAGGGGTGTGTTTGGATGTAGTATTGTCTTTTAAATGTGGTTGTACATTTGTGTGTAGTAATGGTGTTTGAGCGAATGGGTCTGTTTGTATATGGTTTTTGAGTTTGAATTAAGGGTTGTGTTTGTATGTAATGTTTGTGTTTGCAGGGGTACGTTTGCATGTTGTGTTTGATTGTTGGGTTGTGTGCACATACATACTTACACAGATATACATACAGATTATCACACATATATACACATATAAGCACAATGACACATGCACACACCTTAACACACAAATACACTCTGGCACACAGATACACACACAAACACATGCACACACACTGGCATACACACACAGGCATATACACACACTGGCAACAATACACACACTCAGATACACATACAGGCATATACACACACTCAGATACACACTGCCACACACATTCAGGTACACACTGACACACAGATGAACACACTGCCACAGAGATACACTCACTGACATATGCACAAGCATGCATCATAATTTTTATATTTGCAGTCACCCTCCTGTTGGCTTACCTTTTGCCTGCAGGAGGGTGACTTGCTTGGGGTTCTGCTAGTTGAGGCTGATGTGTGAGGAGTCTGCAGTAGCTCACTCCGTTCTGTCACTTCCAGCTGGATCCCGTTAGTGTATCAGTTTGTGTTGCTCAGCAGTCACCTCTCCAATTTTGGAAGCCCTCCTTAGGAAATGCAGTGGTAAAGGGCATCCAGTGTGCCTTTGTGTATGTGGGATCTGTCACAAAGGTGAAGTCTCCAATCTCTGGAAGATACTTGTCTTCAAGTTTTGCAGCAAGGAACATGGCTGTCACCCCCTAGAAGCTGCAGCTGGCTTATAGGAACAGAGTGAATTCCAACAGTCATAAACAATCTCCTGCAGAAAGCAAAATTTCATCTGAGCCTGAACCATCCAGTCGATCAGCAAACTCCACATTCGCTGTGCCTAACCATATGGTGCAATCACTCAGACCTTCTTACTCGGCTGCCAGCACACCTGCTTTGCCTCCTGTGTGGTGCTCTCCGTATGAAGTTGGGAGGAAGTGACCGTTTGTCACTTCCTCCCAGCCTGCTTATACCCCTGTTCAGTGATACCCAACAGATTGCCCTAGATGCATGGGTCACCCAATGGGCCCCTCCAATGATCCTAAAAGAAAAAAATTGTTGCGGGCAGCAGGCCAATGGGGCAGCTGCTTTAGGCCCCCCAAGAGTAACTGGGCCCAGGGCAGGTGCCCTGACAGGGGTATTTCAAAGTTGTGTTAGGGATATAAACCTGCTGTTATAGATTACAGCCACAGATGCAGACTTAGAATATTAAAAAATCTTCATCTTGTGAGAATATTTTTCTGGCAGTCTGCATTAAATGACATATTCAGTTTTGCTTCTTGAATATTGTAGAAAGCCTGGGACCTTTCCAAATGACCATCAGACCCGTGCTATTTATATGGCCCTCAAGAGATAACTGTCTTGTCCTAAAACGACTAAGGAAATGACAGGCTGTTTTTAAGATCATAGGAAGTTTCATGCCAGCTCCAAGGAAAACGAGAAAGTAGATAAGTATTTCATGAATTTTTTTAAATTAAATAAAGAAGTAGGGCATAAGAGAAGATGAGAAAAGAAACAACATAAAGGCTAAACATAAGGGAATAACTGAATGCTACCAAAAGAAGGGCAGATTCTCAGGTACATCTCTATGTTCTCTTACTGAACTATTGTCACTCTAGATGTTATATAAAGTGCTTTTCAAGCTCAGTAGCAAAACGGATTAAATATTACTGAATTAAACCATAACAGAAATAATAAAACGGCAACAGCTGTTAAACTATGGGGGTTAGTCTTTCTTTAATTTCATACTGTCTGTTGCACCAACATGCATAAAGTAATAATAAGCAATGCAGCAAATTAAAATTCAAGCAAAATTAATGTGTAGCCAATTATACCCAATTTAGACTGTCACCAATTATTGGGCAGAGAACATTGCAATATTTATTAAAATTATAATCATACGTATTGTGGACCCAAGCTCACACAGGCACACCAAGTCGAGGATTCATTTGTCAACGGTGGGGTACTTATTTTGGGTCTGATTAAAGGAATAGCACCACTCCTATAATATTGCATCACTTGACTTTTTTTAATATATATTTTACAAGCAAGTAAACACTTCTAAACAAATATACAAACCAAACTAAACAAAGGGTCAATCTATATAGAATACAATACAAGAAAGTGTGATCGGCATTTCTCCCCAGCTGCAGGGTGTACTTGCAGGAACCAATGTGGATAGCACCTTATCCCAGCATCAGAACAAAGCAACAGTACATTCCCCCAACAGAAGTGGGGGCTTCAAGATGCCCCCCTCACTGATGTCCCTTTGTAACGCCCCAAGAGGAACTGAGATAGAGAAAGTGGAGGAATGGTTTGCAGCATGTATGTTGACCTACTCTAGCACTGACCTGGTCACTGGTTTTAGGTTAATTTACCATTAGGGATGGAGTAATGTAACAGAACCTTGCAGAGAGGCTCACAGACTAGCATCTTACCCAGAGACTATGGACCCCTTGTGATGAAAATCCCCTCCAGCCCTGCAAGGTTAAGCCAAATGGATTCCAATGACTTTAATGCAGTGCTATCTATTAGTTAAAGCTGTCCTATGTACAAAGACTCTACAATGCAGATATTGTAATATTCAGGCAGAATGCACTTGGAATCTGGATTTTATATGTTTCTCCCAATTTCTCCCCTATGGAGCAGATACACATTTTATTGTATTTCATTGTTGCCTGTATGTTTGTGTTTTATAAAACCATTTTGAATCATTCACAGTAAGTTAAAAATAGCTTTGTTAAAGGGACACTCCAGAACCCTAAAACATTTGCTTGCTGAAAAGCTTTATGTGTGAAGAATCTGTCCACATTTTTGTGACAGCAGATACTTGCACACAATATCAGAATTTGTGAATGCACACAAGCTTTTCTTTACCTGCACAGTTTTTGGTCACTTAAGTTTTACTTCTAGGCACAGATAACTTAAAGATGGCTGACCCACAGAACAAGGTAAAGCCTGGAGATGCACTAATAACAGGCATTTACTAATACACATACATTAAAAATTAATATACACAGGGGGGCGTGGCCAGCAGAGCACCTAACCAGATATCTACCACCGGGGCTCCGATGCGACCCCGTAATAAACCAACCCCAGCAAAAAAAATCTCACATCTGAAACCACACTATTCACAGCCCCCAGCAGATGAAACAATGGGGCGCAAAAATAGAAAGCAGAACCGCTACGGAAAACTTTCGCTTTCCGGACATCAGACTCTCCTTTGAGAGGCCCACGCCACCAGCGCTGCCTAAGATGGCGCCTGAGGCCCAGATCGACCTGGAAGCCTCGGAGGACTCCCACGAGGAGGAGGAATCACTTACCTCTCCTCGAGCCAGTGGAGGGTATCAGTCCCCTGAGTCGGATGAAGACTCCACTCCGTCTACCAAAGGAAACATCAAGAGACTCCTGACCGACCTGAGAGAGGTCTGGAAGGCCGACCTGCGTGAGACCCAGGCTGAAATTGGTGTGATCCACCAGAAGATCACAGCGGTGAAGGCTAGGGAGACAGCCAGAGACAGTAAGCTACAGGCAGCACACAGCCAAATCATAGGGCTCACCCAGCAAGTCCACTAGCTAAGCCGTGCAGTGGCTACACTGGAGGCCCGCCACAGACGCCGGAATGTCAGCCTACCAGGAATCCCAGAGACTGTGGAGGGGGAGGCGCTGCTGCCCTTCGTCCGGAGACTGACCACCTCCATGGGAATAAAAGGGTTCGATGATCCCCCGCAGATAACGTTCCGGATAAGCAAATCAGCCACAGTGCCAGCCGGAGCTCCTAGGGACACCATCAGAGTCACGAGGGACGAGGCAGTGAGAACTGCAATTCTGAACCACTCCAGGACCTTGGGGACTGTCACCTACGACAGCTGAATGCCGCACACGAACATTAGACCTCCCCATAGGAAGGCATTGAAAAATGCTTTCAATGCTTCCTTATGGGGATTTTAGCGACGCTGGAGGTCCTCACATAGCATGAAGATGTCCAGCGACGCTATAGCACAGAAAATCTGTGCTATGAACCAGGAAGTGCTATGAACCAGATAGCCACTAGAGGAGGAGTTAACCCTGCAAGGTAAAAATTGCAGTTTATGAAAACTGCAATATTTACAGTTGCAGGGTTAAGGGTAGTGGAGGTTGGCACCCAGACCACTCCAATGGGCAGAAGTGGTCTGGGTGCCTGGAATGTCCCTTTAAGTTGCTCAAATGCCGGACGCATAAACCAAAGCTCCAACTGCCATAAATATCCAAAAATGAAAGGCTGCTCACCGGTCTTAAAAAAAATGAAAATGTATTTGAAAATGTAAAAAATAATTCAAATGTGAAGAATGCAGAGGTAAATAATTTCCTGAGCTAAGCCCCGACGCGTGTTTAGACAGGCAGGCTCTTAAGGGGGAATGCCTGTCGAAAAACGCGTCAGGGCTTAGCTCAAGAAATTATTTACCTCAGCATTCTTCACATTTGAATCCTTCATCTCTCATTACGATATTTAGCCGTACTTTCGGTACACAGATATTCCAACATGTTTATAACTCCTAAGAAGCCACAGGTTGACGGAGCCGTTATCTAATGATAAAATTAATCCTGTTAGAAGCTGTCTTTATTATAGCAACCTTAATCTTCTCAGACGATAGGTGCCCACGAAGGCACAGCATTACTTACTTTCTCGATTCCACAGAAGTATAAATGACTTGGATCCATTTCATGTTTCAATTTAAAATGCGCTGAGACACTATGGCCTTCAAAACCTCTTTTTATATTGTATATATGTTCGTACAGTCGTTTCTTCAATTGTCTTTCAGTTCGTCCGATATACTGTAATCCACACGTGCAGTATATCAAATAGATCACCCCCTTAGTAGTGCACGTAAAGTACCTCCCTGGACATCTTAAGGAAGGGAGGACATGACTGCTGGCAGGGATAAGGGGTTGGGTCACAAGGGGATACATTGTTACACATGGGGGGACATTAAGATGGGGAAAAAGGGGAGGGTACTCACCAGTTCCTGGGTGTAGTGTTGCTAGCTTCCCCTGGGACTGTCCAAAAAAAAAAAAAAAGAATTTTCAATTATTACTATTTTCATTTGGATTTTCTACTTACCTGACTTCCCCCTCATCTGGCATCGGGAGAATGGCTTCAGCTGTGTCAAGGGAAGATGTGGTAGCCTTACTGCAGGCGTACCTTGCCTCTCATGGATCCGGTGCTTTGGAGGAGGTGATCGCTGGGGTGGATAATCGCCCGGCTCCTGCTGCAGCTTCAGGGACTTCTTCTATCCCGTCGGATGGCGGTAGGAGGACCAGGCGTTCCAGGCCTCCTACGCGCCTGTCCCCCAGTCCGGTGTCCAGACGTCGAGGTCGCCAGCGGGAACAGCGGATTGGCACCGCCAGGTCTTCCCCGGTGCGGAGTGGAAGGAGACCGGCGGCGGCCATCATCGTTGGTGGACAAGATGGCGGCTTGGCGGGAAGATCTCGGAGCCCGCCGTCTCTTCCGGTCCCAACGGCGGGAAGAGAGAGGACGCCGGAAGTGAGTGGAAGCGTCGGCGTGCGTCAGGCCGCCGGACGTCATCATCGGGCGCAACCGGAAGTGACGCGCCCCGCCGGATCACGGGACCCGGAAGTGACGCGCTCCGGCGGCGTCCCGAACCCGGAAATGACACACAACGCAGAGGACGGTCGGCAGGAAGAAGAGGAGACCACAGGAGAGCCCAGACAGCCGGAGTCAACCCCCATCACCCTGAGGCAGCCGGTTTCGGAACGGTTAACCTGGAGCACACCTCAGGTCCAGCTGCAGATGTCCCTGGGAGCCCTTGGTCGGATTCTGGTTCTGAAGAGGAGGAGGTTTCGGTGCCTGCAGTTCCCCAGTGGTCCGGTGAGTGGTTACATGGCGCCGGCGTGCCAGGGACTGGGGCCCAAGATCAGGCTAGTGAGTGCTTGCGCTTGCTTAGGACCCTAGTGGCCACTTTCCCTTCCCATCTTACTGGGCTGGATACTAGACAGGTTCAGGGACAGGGTCTCCCAGGGCTGGCTGAGGGTCAGCCGCAGGGATGTTCTCAAACCCTTAGGGCTCAGCCTGCCGCAGGGGCTTTTCGTGCCGGTTCGGTGGGATGTGATCTTGCACCGTTAGGTTTGCATGTCCCTATGGACGTGCAAGAGAAGATTTGGAGAGGTGAGTATGTGGATCTGCTGTCTTTGGTCTCTCCCGACAAGGATTCAGTGGACAGACCACGCCGTGGGGAGGTACCCGAGGCGGAAAAAGGTAAGCAGATACCCAGAACCTTTGGTAATTGGTTGCAGGGGTTTAACATATTTGCCAGTATCCTAGTGCGCCGGTTCCCAGATAAGGCTCCGGCCCTGTTCGGGTACTTAGATCTGATTTGGGGGGACTACAAAATTTATGGCGGGCAATGCTGGTATCGCTATGACCAGCAATTCCGACAAAAGATGGCGGTGTGCCCGGGTATGGATTTCGCCGTGCAGGATGGCAGTCTCTGGCTGTTACTTATGACTCCCAGTAGACCATCCCCCTTTCCCGGGCCTGCCGGAGGTAACTCCGGCTCCTCAGCAGGGCAGAGGAAAGGTGTGTGTTGGCTCTTTAATGAGAGCCACTGCCGCTGGTATAGCTCCTGCAGGTTCCGCCATGAGTGTGCACACTGCGGGGGAGCCCACCCCGCGGTGCGCTGCTTCCGTAAGGGGAAGCCAGTTTCGGGAAAGGGTCCCTCTCAAGATGACGTACCTAGGGGAGAGGACGCCGGTGGACGCCCTAAGGATGCTCCCGTGGCTCGCCCGGTATCATAGGGGTCGCGATGCTCAGACATTGTTTGATGGTTTTCAGGTAGGTTTCTGGATCCCCTTTGTTCCCTCTTCTTTCCCTCAGTTCGCGGACAATCTCCGCTCGGTTAAGGGCAAAGAAGATATTTTACAGCAAAAATTGCAGGTGGAGGTGCAGGCGGGTCGCATGGCTGGCCCGTTTAGTGCGCCACCTTTTCCTAACCTGAGAGTCTCCCCTCTGGGATTGGTTCCCAAAAAGGACCCAGGTTCCTTTCGTTTGATCCAGCACCTATCCTACCCGTCGGGTGAATCGGTAAATGATGCCATTGGCAAGGACATCTGTCGCGTGCGATATGCATCATTTGATAGGGCTTTGGAATTAGTTCGTCGGGCCGGGCAAGGTGCTTTGTTGGCAAAATCTGACATAGCATCGGCTTTCCGTCTGTTGCCAGTTCACCCCTCCTGTTTTCACTTGCTAGGCTGTTTTTTTCAGGGTTTTTTTTACTATGACATGTGTTTGCCCATGGGTTGTTCTATTTCTTGTTTTTATTTTGAAATGTTTTCCTGTTTTCTCGAATGGGTAACGCTACAGGAGGCGGGTTTGGTGTCTGCTACTCACTACTTGGATGACTTCCTTTTCGTTGGCCCTCCGGTTCGGGTGAGTGTGAGCGGCTTTTGCAAACGTTTCGGGCTGTCATGGGATATTTCGGGGTCCCCGTTGCAGAGGCTAAGACGGTGGGCCCGGTTCGGGTTTTGTCGTTTTTGGGGATTGAGATCGACTCTGTCGGTATGGTTTTTAGGCTGCCGGAAGAGAAGGTGTCAGTTCTCTTGCGGACGATCGACCTGGTTCGAGGGGCGAGGAAGGTGCAGTTGCGGCAAATGCAGGTGCTTCTGGGGCACTTGGCCTTCGCTTGCCGAGTTCTTCCAATGGGACGTGCGTTCTGCAGGCGCCTCTCCTTGTCCACGGTAGGGGTTCGGGAGCCTTTTCATTTTATCCGAGTCACGCGGCGTCTGCGCGCGGACCTCCAAGTTTGGAGCTCCTTTTTGGAGCGCTACAATGGACGCTCCTGCTGGTTGCTGGAGGCTGCGTCTAACTCGGAGTTGAACCTCTTCACGGACGCATCCAGCTCCGTGGGTTTTGGGGCATATTTTCAGGGTAAGTGGTGCGCTGAGGTATGGCCAGCTCGATGGCGGGGTTTGGATGTTATGCGTAACCTGACGTTTTTGGAGTTGTTTCCCATTGTTGTTTCTCTGGAGCTCTGGGGGGAGGCTTTGGCCAACAGGACTGTTGTTTTTCACACGGACAACATGAGTGTTGTCCATGTGATAAACCGTTCCACCTCCAGTTCCCCTCCAGTTCTCGCGCTACTGCGACGGTTGGTACTTCTTTCCTTAAAGTTCAATGTTTGGATTAGAGCTTGTCATGTCCCGGGTGTTGACAACGTGGTAGCTGACTCTCTTTCTCGGTTTCAGTGGGACCGTTTTCGGGAGTCGGCGCCAGCCGCGGAGGCTGTGGGTATCCGATGTCCGGTTTCCTTATGGGAGATCGATTTGGAGGATTGAGGAGCTTGGTGTCGGACTCCTTAGCTGACTCTACCTGGAAGGCATATCAAGCCGTCTGGCGGACGTGGCTGTCCTCGTTTTCGCAGGACCTGATGCTGGGGTCGGAGTCCGGGCGCTTGGAGGCGACTCTGCTACTGTTGGAGTCCATGTTTGCGCAGGGTAAGTCTTGTTCTGCGGCCGAGAAGGCTTTGAGCGCCCTATCCTTTCTTTGTCGGTCTATGGGTTGGCAAGACGTTTCTCGGTGGTTCGGTATACAGCGGGTTATTCGGGGTTGGAGACTTAGAAGGGCCCCGGACCGCCGCCTCCCGGTGTCGGCTGACTTGCTGGGACGGATCCTGGCGGCTATGGGGGCGGTTTGTTTCTCAGACTATGAAGCCTCATTATTTCGGATTGCATTTGCTTTTTGTTTTTTTGGAGCTTTTAGGGTGGGCGAGTTGGTGGCACGCAACCGTTGGGCGGTGGGGCCGCTGCTCATGGCGGATATCCGGTGGTCCGAGGACTGTGGATTTTGCATACGGCGTTCCAAGACAGACCAGGTAGGTAGGGGTTCATGGGTGCGTATCGGTGCCACGAGAGGCAGGTTTTGTCCGGTCCGTCTTTTCTCAGAGTATTTGCAGATTCGGCCGATGTGGTGCCTCTCCTTTCTGGTTCATAGGGATGGGTCCCCCCTTACACGTTATCAGTTCTCAGCTAGGTTCCGTGCTGCCTTGGTTGCATGCGGGGTGAATCCTCGCCATTATTCTACTCATTCTTTTCGGATAGGGGCGGCCACCCAGGCTAGTTTGTGGGGTTTCTCGGACGCAGCGATTCAGCGCTTGGGTAGATGGGGTTCACGGCGCTACAGGTCCTATGTCAGACCTCATTTACTATAATGCAATCTCTCCGTAGGTCCTCGGCCCCGCTGCATTTGGATACTGGGACATTCCTACGTTTATTGGGCTGCGCGGCGAGCTGAGGAGCGTCCATACGGGAGGAATTTGGGTTTTTCCTACGAGATAGCCAGGGTAAGGTGGAGGGGTATTAGGGGTATGTTGTGGCAGCAGCTGTATTCGGAGTGCGTATCCCTTCGTAGGTACGTGTCGGGGCCAGTAACCCTAGTAATTCATGCAGGGGGAAATGACCTGGGGCGCAGTAGGTCAGTGGACCTCCTGCATGCGATTAGACACGATCTGGCTCGGTGTATGGCTCTTTTCCCCGAGTTGACCCTGATCTGGTCGGACATAGTGTCCAGGCCGCGTTGGCGTTCGCTGCCGCATGCTAAGGGCGTGGAGCGTAGTAGGCGCAGGCTCAACGTGGCCATCGGAAAATTTGTCCGCCGGATTGGTGGTTTTGTCATTAGGCACAGGGAGCTGGAAGGGGACAATTCCGACTTGATGCGGAAGGATGGGGTGCACCTTTCCCTCATAGGATTGGATATCCTGAATGCGGGTCTTCAGGCAGGTATTGAGGAGGCGCTGGCTGCGGGGGGGCGCGGTCCCTCCCAGGGGAGTAGGTAGGGAGGAACCGCGGTGGCGGTAGTCCTGGCCAGCGAAGAGGTTTGGAAGAAAGTGCCCAAGCGGCTTGGGGAGTCGCAGCCTGCTGAGAGCTGATGGCGGGGGCAGGCTGCATTGGACTCGTGGGTCTTTTGATAGAGCTGTCTGTTGGTAATCCCCCAACAGCTGACAGGTTGTGGACGCTGGTGATAATCGATGTTAATTCTGTTAATAAAGCTGTGGCCGTTGCCCTTACCCATACAGAAGGTGTTGTGTATTTATTGGGCAACGGGTGGTGGGAGTTTTGGTCTGGGGTCAGCAGTCAAGTACCTCCCTGGACATCTTAAGGAAGGGAGGACATGACTGCTGGCAGGGATAAGGGGTTGGGTCACAAGGGGATACATTGTTACACATGGGGGGACATTAAGATGGGGAAAAAGGGGAGGGTACTCACCAGTTCCTGGGCAGAGGTGTAGTGTTGCTAGCTTCCCGCCCACCCACCCACAAAACGTGTGTTATGATGGTGTTGTTGTTGGTTGTGTGCTGTTGTTTCTTTGTTTTGTCACAGCTCGCGGTAGTCCTGGCCAGCGAAGAGGTTTGGAAGAAAGTGCCCAAGCGGCTTGGGGAGTCGCAGCCTGCTGAGAGCTGATGGCGGGGGCAGGCTGCATTGGACTCGTGGGTCATTTGATAGAGCTGTCTGTTGGTAATCCCCAACAGCTGACAGGTTGTGGACGCTGGTGATAATCGATGTTAATTCTGTTAATAAAGCTGTGGCCGTTGCCCTTACCCATACAGAAGGTGTTGTGTATTTATTGGGCAACGGGTGGTGGGAGTTTTGGTCTGGGGTCAGCAGTCATGACATTATGGATTTTATACTCTTCTCCAGTATGGTATGATGTACATTTGGTGCTTTTTTATTTGTTTTTGCACAAGTCCGACATGCACTACATGATCCGAATTTATAGAATTAATTGCCTAATTTTTTTATTTTTTTTGGTAATTCGTTCGGAGCTAACATCGACTTCAAATTGTTGCTAAATGTATGTTTTTAATGTAAATTTGTCTCATTGTTTTACAAAGTACTCCTAATTTTCTCTTGTGTTTGCCGTTAGGGGTTAATTTGTTCAGTTACATCATTCCAAATGATATGCATCTGTCATAGATTGCAGATAAGTGAGATATTATTTAACAGAGATCGACGTTCGGCACAAATATACTTTGAGAAAGCCCACCCAGGGTGATACGCATAAGTCACTTTGTGACGACATTCCTGGCGTTCAGGGGAGAGATCAAGCAGCGACATCGATGGACGGTGAACTGATCACGATCTTAGCAATTAACCTACGAACTGTAAGCCAGTCATATAGATTTTATTGTTTATTTTATGGAAGCTAATAAAGTGTGGTAACTATTTAACCACTGAAAGCTCATTATTTGCTTATACTGTGAATACACTGTGGGACCAGTTCAAGTCCCCGCATCAGGTGAGCAGGGTACATAGGGGGAGTGCTATTAACCCCTTCTCACACAGTGCTGTACTATTGGAAGTTCTATGTGTTTCATTCCTTAGACATGAATCTGGATCAGACACAGACTCAGTGAAAATATACCAATTAGGACGGAACATAGACCAATATAAGAATATTCAACTAGGTGAGAACTCCACATAGGGTGTATAAGGTGGAGGTTTCTCACCTGATGTTATTATACCATTTTAGTTCTAATCTCTCTAGGTTACCCACCTATGTTGTAACCCTTGGAGTCCTGGAGGATTTAGAAGGGGCTACTTTATTTCAGTGTACACTGTAAGAACTTGGAAGCTTTAGGTTTTGTTGGTCTATAAATTGCAAAATCTAGGCTTCAAAGCTGTTCTGGAAAAAAAATCTCCAACTTTGCAATAGTCACAGATTGTAGCCTGCATTTTGAAAATTAAATTTCAATGTGTTACAATTTGGAATTCATGGATAACGTTGACAAAGTTATCAGTACTTTTGTAATTCAGTGTTATTAAAATGCACAGGTAATACAATCTAGTAGATTTCTCATAGACACATACTGTATGCTAAAATATGAAATTAGTTTGTAATGCTTTTAATAATCAGTTTGTAAGAGAGTCAATAGTTTAGTTTTTTATGTGACTGATGTGGGGAGAGAAAAGGGGTATTAATACTTAAGAGTGGAAAGTGGAGATCAAGATACCCCAGACACTGCCACTCAATTTAAAGTTTACATTTAAAAGATGCTAACAAATGCACAGCTATATATTCCTGTATTTACTGTACGTTAGCTAATAGATCTTTGCCACATCCTAGAGGTAAAAACCCTATGTATTGCATTCTCACAGTATATTCTTATGAATTTGCGTGCATACCCTACCACAATCAAGAATACCTTTTACATAGAATTTTGACCACAGATAAAAGTCAAATGGCCCACTCCATCTGTCCGCTTCGCATCTAAAAGCAGATGCTTTATATTTTTATTGTTTTTCTGCCTCTTGACAGCTGTGTGTTTATTTCAGGTATAACCTGAGTTCCTTCACTCTATTAGTCTCTACTACTGCTGCTGGATCAGGTATTTAATTCATTTGCAACTTCTTCTAGAAAGTATTTCCAAAATTTACATTCTGACAACTTTGACCTAACTTAAACTAAACTAACTCTTTTACAGAAAATGTAGTTTTTTTGTGCTTTGTTAAAGCCTATTTTTTTGCTATCACTTTACAGATTAAATTGGAGTATCCCCCTATACAGGATATGATTATTCACATATTTTACAATTGGCTAACGTCTGCTTTCATATGGATCCTGTCTAGAATCCTAAAGATGGAATTCTGGGATCTGTGCTGTATGTCAATTACCCAAGTTCTTCTATGTTGAAAGTCCAGATTAATCTTATAATGCAAGATCGCACAATGCCAAAGACAAATGTTTGGATAGTTACAGAAATAACATGAAATATGAAACACATATTAGATATATATTGACTTCTGTGTTGTTTGGAAATGAGAATACCTATATAAGGCAATAGTACAATATGTACATTAAATAGAACAAATATAGAATAAGCAATATCGTTGATTATCTGAACAGGAAAACCTCAATGGTTTTACTTAGATTTCTAGCAATTGAGATGAAAGCATTCCGTTTCTAACAAATCATATTTTTATTCATAGCTAATGTGAGAAGTGATGGGGCGGTTTGTTCCCTAATCGGGTGCCATAAAAAGAAGGATAATAGGTAAGCAACGGGTCACAAGGTTTACTCAATATCCTTGGTTAGTGAACCATATCAAGTTATAAACTATTATGTTACCTGCAAAGCAATGACACTGTACTGTGGTAGGTGCAGAATGGGTCATATGTCTGATTATTTAAATAACCACACTTCAATTTTAGCCTTGTGCACATCACAGCAGCAGCATAATTTCTAATCCAACTGCTCTGTGCTTTAGATTTATGTCAAATCAATTTACCCTGAACATTTGGAGCATGGTCAAAAGGACCAAAAATATTAAATGCTGGATTTCTAAAATGTACAATATGTTTAGCATTGCTCTATATATTGGTATCATTAATCCCTTAAGGAAACAGCTTCAGAATATGGACTTACCTTTAAGGACACAATAATTTTTTGCTGTTTGTGTTAAACTGCAATTTGCATCTCTCTCATTTATTGCACCATCACACATTATACACAGTTTTTTAGAGGGCAAAGGGGGCTTTAGTTTGATGTCACATTTACATATATAAATAAAATATGAAGGGGAAGAAAACATTTAACACAGACACAGCAAAAACTGGATAGAGGTGTTCTGTGACAAGAATATACAGGGTCGCACACTTGAGACCTTCAAGCCAAGATGGTCACCGTGACAACTCATGGGAGTTGGGCCCTCCACGAGGAGCACGTTGAGTGGATCTTTCTTCAGTTCTGAGAACAGCACTGGGTCAGAGTCACTGACAAAACAGAGAGGCAAATTGCAACAGCATTACCTCGACAGCGCACTGCAAGACAAGCTTTTAGCTTCCCACTGGCATGACTCAGCACTGCCAAGAGGCTACAAGCGAAGAAACAGAGTAGAAGGGAAAGGCGCTCTAAGACTTACTGTCACTCACCGGAGCCTTGTCACATGAGGGAAAGCCCCCCCAGACATAACTCACACCCTCGAGTGCCGTTAAGGCGCAGGGCCAGAGAACAAAAGCACTGGGGAGACACCAAAGCCACACACATCCAGCCAACCCAGCAATGGGTGTATGCCCCAACACTTCGGCTCAAACCTACTCTACCCCGAGGGACTTGTAGAGGAGGCACCGCGGCATACGCATAAGCTCTTGTGCCACCGCATCGACACCCTGTTATACCCCTAAACGGCATCGGTTGACAAGGGACTGGGCTTCTTGCTGGCCGGAATTAACCTTCTCCTAATACCCTTACAATGCTTGATTTTTGAATATCCTTATCGCTACCACTAAAATGTCAAACATAAGTTGCTAACAGTTTATTTTAAATTTCTGGTTCACTACCGGTAGATAGCAAGGTTGTGCTTGTAGTACTCTGAAGCCTGATAGTTCCTACAAGTTCTCTGTCTCAGTCATACTTATGGAGTTCGAGCACTCTTCTGTACCCTGCTTTGACACATAACTACTAACTACGCTACTATTATAAACACAAAAAATAGTGCAGCTCATTGCCATGCCACACCTTATAATGCAACATATATCGTTTTTCTAAAATAATGCTAAATATTTTCTGTCAGCATCATAAATAACAAGATGAACTATCAACGTTCATACGTTTTAACCCCTTCCCAGCATGGCGGGGAAACTGTTAACGTTGAATGACTGACCGGGTCCATCATCGCGGGGTTAACGCTCCTCCGGTCTGCCTCTGTATTAGAGGCAGATCGGGAGCACCCGAGTGCGCTGCCCCTGCAGCAGTGATCGCTCTGACAAGCTGTCAGAGCGAGCACATGTGCTGCAGGGACTCACTATCTGCCTCCCTGCTCTTCCGTGTTGTGTGTGAAGTGCAGGGAGACGGATCAGTGATGATCTACGTCCCCTGTAAAAAATAAAGTTAGTTTAAAATCCCACCTCCCTTTACCTATTTTAAATAAAAATTAACCCCTTCCCTGCCAATTGATCACTGACTACAGTGATCAATTGACAGGGACTATATTTTACTGTGATTTGATTTTTTTTTTTTAAACTTTAAATTAAAAGCCATTCCGTTTTTTTTTTCAAACTTTAAATCTTTACGCTGTGCCCATGTCCCATTTTAAAGTTTGAAAAAAAACTGGAATGGCTGTGTCTAAAATGTGCCCCTCCGATGTCCACATATACCTAGCAAAGGTACATACGGGGCTATTGCTGTACTCAGCCAACATAGCTAAGAAACATATGGAGTATTATACAGTCGTAGCACACATACAATTTGCAAAATATACTGTGCAAACTCACTTTGTGTGTTAAAAAGGCAGAAAAAATGCTCATTACCACTACACTTGGTACATGCTAGCGGAAAACATTATTCCACGCTAAGGTTCAAAATATGCCTTTTGAAATACCCTGGGATGTCTTCTTTAAGAAATGGTATGCCTTTATGGTGTAGTTGTAATATGTAGCCTGTTCAAGTGCTCCAAAGTGGGACACAGACACATCAAAACCCTCCATGAAAATTCACACTTAAAAACCTGAACTTGTCATGTCTCTTTTACAGCACTGTAACTTCACAAAATAGTGTCTAGGTCATACATTGAGCATATTGTTTTACTCAGAAGATGTAACTGAGTATAATTTGGGGATTTGTATGACAGTGGCACATATTAAGTGTAAGAGATACTCAGCAAAAATGCAACATATATGTAAAAATACAATCCCTCTCCCCCCCCCCCACAACAAATATTGACATAAGTTGGTGAAACAATGGTGACAAGTTAAGGCACAATATACACCATATAAGATACCCTGGGGTGTCTGCTTTATCAAATGAAAGCCGTTTGTGGGGTTATTTGAACAGTCAGATTGCTATAATACCCTAAAATGAGACATAGGCCCGTCAAATCCATCTACTAAAATTCTAACTATAGAAACTACTGAAATAGCCTTGTCTCTTATATGGCACTGTAGCTTTACAGAAAAGTGCCAAAGGCATACAATGGGGGTATTGTTATACTCCGCAGATGTAGCTGAACACAATATGGGGTTCTGTGCAGGAATAGCACACACCAGCTTTACGAAATACACATTATATTTGTATATGCCAAAATAAAGAAAAAACTATTTTTTAGTCCAATATTTAGCAGAGATTGGCGATGAAATGGCTACGTAAAAAGTGTCAAACTAACCTTAGGTAAATAGCCTGTGATGTCTACTTTATATAAATATATACTTTTGTATGGCAATTTTTGTTTTCTGTGATGGCTACTAAACCTACAAGACAAACATACCAAATTCTAAAATTGTTGCAAATTGACATTTTATTTTAGTCCTTGTATTTTGTGACCTGTAGCTTTCAAAATAAACTGAAATCCTATAGATATGATGTACTCTATAAATCAAGACACATAAATAAATTTATTTTGAATTACTTTTTCTAAGCTGGACATATTATGCACACACTATTATTGCCAAAACTGTGAAATTCTTTTATTTTATTTTTTTTATTTTTTTTATTTTTTGGCATTTTTATATCATTAATGAGAATGTATCTATGTATATGTGACATCAAATTAAAGCCCTGTTTGCCCTCTAAAAAATGATATATAATGTGTTGGTGCAATAAATGACAGAGATGCAAATTGCGTTTGAATACAAACAGCAAAAAAATGCAAAAATGGCTTGTGTCCTTAAGTGTAAAACAAGCTTCTGAAGCTGTGTCCTTAAGGGGTTAAGTGATCACATTTATTTTTTTCAGAATAATCTCAATCCCAACAGAGGGCGCTCTACAGCAATGTCCCATTCATGCAAGAGAAATGTGCAAAACATATGTCTGTGTGTGTTTATATATAGAGAGAGAGAGAGATGTATATATATTATATACTAATTATGACACAAATTACCAAAAATATCAGCTTAACAGCAACTGTGTATATATATATATATATATATATATATACTCACACACATTTGCTGTGGAGTTGGAATTTGTCCTGAAGAGGTACATTCATAATTAGTATCCCCTTTGCTCGCTTTGCTCATGGCTACTATGGTTTTACTTTGCTCATTCTTTGTTTTGTAATATTGTTAATAGTATTCCATAAATATTTTATAATCCCTTGATCAGCTGTTTTGTAATGATTATAGCCATTACAATGACATAAGCTTGGAAACACAGCAGCATTACAATATGCGTTGACAGAAGGGTAAAATCTTTAAGTCATAAAAAAGGTGTTTGATTTGGTTTAGTTTTTTTCGGAAAATGAGAAAATACGTCGCCAAAGGCTGTTCTGTAACTGTCCTTAAATGGACACCCAAGACCCATAAAGCACTTTAGCTTGCTGTATGAAGAGTTTCTCCTCTTTTTTTTTTTTTTTCATTTTGCAAAAAGTGCAGATTTCAATAAAAATTGACACTTTTATAAATTAAAGGATCACTATAGGGTCAGAAACACAAACATGTTTTCCTGACCTTATAGTGCTGCAAACCCACCGTTTAGGTGGCTTGCCCCCCCTACGCCCCCCCCCCGTTAGTCCCCTTATAAAAGAAAAAAAACTCACCTTATTTCCAGCGCTGCGCAGGTCTGCCAGCGCTGGCTCCACCCCCTTTGTGAGATCATCAAAATGGCAGATTTTTAGCCAATTCAATGCTTTCCCATAGGGAAAGCATTGGACTGGCTAAAATCTGCACGGGGAATCAATATGTCTCTATGAGTAAAATTCAGCGTCTCCATGCAAAACGTGGGGACGCTGAACAGCAGGGCTGCTTACTGTGCAGCCCTGAGCCAGGAAGCCCCTCCAGTGGCCATCTAAGGTGTGGCCAATTGGAGGTGTCCCTAGAGGCAATGTAAACACTGCCTTTTCTCTAAAAAAAAGTCTGCAGTGTTTACATGAAAATGCCTGCATATAATGATTATACTCTCCAGAACAACTTCATTAACCCCTTAACCCCTTCAGGACGGAGTCAATAGTACACGTTCTGATCAAAACAAAACGTAAATAAAAACTGGAATTCGCGCTATATGTCTGTTCAACCGTTATTCACCTCTTCCTTTCATATTAAATGCACCCACACATATTATATATAATTTTGTTCAGGAGAAACAGGGCTTTCATTTCATATCAAATATTTAGCTATGAAACATAATTTATTATGAATAAAATTAAAAAAACTGTGAGAAATTTTAATTTTTTTTAAAAATGTGTAGTTCCGTCTAACATTTTAGCTGTAAATGTCATAATACTTTTAGGGATATATCTCCTAAACAGTGATTTTTATTAATTTTGTATTTGGAGTGTCCATTTAAACCACAACTTCTATCAATTTAAAGTTGAATATAAGGTTAAGGATAGTAATACGTTCAGCAACATTTTGACCAACTCTGCCTGACGATTACTTTATAGTTTTTAAAATTCTAAACAAGTTGAAACAAAAGTAGGATTGGGCAAACTTTTGGCCTGACTTAGGGATACATCACATTGAAACTGGTCATCTAGTCTAAATTAAGTGGTACAGAACCGATCTTGCAAGATTATCTCCATTGTATAAATATTTGGGTAGATATAAAATTAATAATGATATATGATGATATATGCTATAATTATATATTCACTCTCTACTGCCCTATGTTACTTTTGTATAACATGTTATTTTTAATTTTTTAATTTTATTATTATGTATGATTTTGTTATTCACACGCCTTCCAACATTTCAAATGAACAAAAAAAGAGACACTTTAATTGAGTGAAGGTGTGGCAAGGGACAGGCTGTTCTGAGAAATTTTAGGTGACATACTAATAACAATTTATGCAACTAAAATGTCATTTAGAACAAGAACAATGTATCTTATTTACACAGATTGAGTTCTAAACACATTTATTATCGTTTAAAGACACATTACAGGGAGTATTATTGCTGTGGAGCCCTGCTATGCACTTAGACACACCAATAATATGAAGCTCCTAGAAAAGAGGGACATTAGGATATAGAAATATAGAATGTGACGGCAGATAAGAACCATTCGGCCCATCTAGTCTGCCCAATATTTCTAAATACTCTCATTAGGTCTTATCTTATAGTTAGGATAGCCTTATGCCTATCACACGTATGAGCGGAATTAGCAACAATCTAATCTGCTCCATTTGGACTGACAAATGTATCTTAAATTTCAAGTATAATCCAATGGCTACACAATGCAGTCGCTTTCTAGAAAACAAAATAGCATTTCTTAAATTTGTATGAACAATGGATAAAAAACAAAACAACCTAATCTGATGACATTTGGCTCTACAAACTAGTGTCTTTCCCAACTACATAATTAAGTCATATATCCTTTGTGGAGACATCAATTCTTCAAAGTTAGCAATAAACACTAGGAAACAACACATGTATTTTGTCAGCTGATACTTAACAACCAATGTGCCTTTGATAAAGTAAAGTAGCATTTAAATTGCTTTAAAAAGAATCATCAGCAGGATACCTTTACTGGGTTTAAGGGACATAGCCAGAGCCAGCTTACACTACCACCAGGGTTATTCAGTAAAAGTGAATATTTCAACGAAGTGTGAATTCAAAGTTAATTTCAAATTTTAAAAGAAGACCCCTAAGAACCATAAACACTACAGTCCATTTTAGTACAGTTTGAAAACTTACCTGTGTTACAACAAATGCTGGCACTGCATCAACCACATCCAGTCTTTCCAGATTGCTCTATAGAGCAAAGCATTGACAATGCAAGACCAGTCTGATTGGCTGGGAGCATCAGCTGAGTGTGCTCATGCAATGTACTGCATTGCCTTGCTTTACTCCTGATGTGGCTGATTATTATGATTATTTATATAGCGCCAACAAATTCCGCAGCGCAATTCAATGGGTGGCGTAACAACAAAGGGGTTAAAGGCCCTGCTCAATGAGCTTACATGCTAGAGTGAGTGGGGTACAGTGACTCAAAAGGTAGCGGTAGAAAAATAGGTTGGTTGGATAGTATTCACTGAAGACTTCGTGTTTTTTGTTTTTTGTTCTTTTATGACTGATGTGATGTGGCTGCCCAATAGAATCCAGGTTAGTTGGCAAACCATACAAAAATAGTTAGACATCTTACATTGGAACAGTGCATTCCTGGCAGCATAATCACTGCCGTGGGCTGTAGTGGTTATAGTGCTTAGAGTGTTCCTTTAAGCTAAAACAGACAGATTGACAAAATTCTCCCCGTCAACTATTATTACAGTTCGACAATTTTGGTCTTAAGTTTAAATAACATTTGAAATTAACTTTGATTTCCCTATCAATTTCCCTATCAATCACGCAAAAACAAATGTTGATTATGAAGCAAAAAAATGATATAATCTACAGTCTGCATAGAATACTAAATACTGAAAGGAAACCACAATCCATTTTTTTGCTGCAGGTACAGAAACAACATGCAGCCATAAGTCACATTATATATCATTAGGGTCTGCATAAAGGGATTTTTATTTTACATCAATCATATTATATTAAATGATAAAATGACGTTGAACTTTATTCAAACTCTGGAACTAAATGTAGGGAGCAACATGGATATCATTAAAACATTAAAACTATCTTAAATAGAACTTCAGGGGACACTGAAAGAATCTGGACAACAACACATTTACAAACCCAGTAGTTCCAATAATAATTCATATGAGGTGATTTTCCTCCAGCTGTCACTCTTGCAGTCAATTTCCTACTCATCTTCCCAAAGTATCCCTTGTGATACACTTTCTTGCTTGCTATTTTATTTCCTTTATTACTTTTATGGTCATCTGTCCTATATATGACATCCATCTTGTGATTAAAAATCAGGATGCACTCCCTTCTTTTAATCCATCTCCTAATCCACATTATTACTTTTCTCTTGTCTTTATTTGGCATCCATTCACCTGTTGTGTCTGTCTTGTGTACTCTTGCTTCCCTTTTTGCACTCACGGTCACCACATCCACTGGTTAGGTTCCTATCTTCACGTTTAACTGCACAGAGTGTAAAAACTGAAACATCTACACTGACATCTCCCAGTAACTGGCCACAGCGAATCAGCTAACCTTGTCTGGTCCTGTACACAAGGGTCTAATAGTAAAGGAGTTATGCAATCAGGAACATTCGCAATAACCAACCATGCATAATGTGATTCCTACGATTTGACTATGTTCTCTAATTTAATTTGTAACAATATTTCATGCCTATCCCGGGGTAGGAAGGGGAAGGGTGACTAGCGTATTCCTTATGTTGACTGGAAGCTGTTGGAGATGCTCTAAAATGTCTACTGGCACGGTACTGCTGGAGTGAGACACGAATGTGCAGGTCCTTTGCTTATTCTGTGAGTTTATGCTTTGTTTGTTAACCCCTGATTTAGCCCTAAACTGAGTTACTGGGATATTTCTTAGAACACTGCAGTATCTAAGGCTTAGCAGGCTGCAAGATTATGATGAGGATACACTGTGTACTCTGGAGGAGATTATAAATGGCTGCACTGCTTTATGAAATAGTGGTCAGGACATTCCTGGGTGGGTGTCAGTGGCAATAGAGTTGAGAGTATTAGGCACGTCAAGATCCCCGTACGCAGGGATAAATGACAGTTGAAAAACAAAATATGGTCCAGACAATCATGGTTCACAGAATAGGTAGATATATTGGGAGGGTGTACAGCTGATTGCTATTTGAACCTTGAGTGCCGGGACAATCTTTTGTCTTTCGTTTGAGGTTTGGCCTACCTCAAGTCCTGTTGCACCCTGGTTACCAAAGGAGTGCAGTGTCCCCCTGTTTCATCTGCATGGATAAACTATGTCACACCATGGGACCCCAGCAGTCTCCATCTGTCTAAACCACTGTGTGTAGGACCATCCAAACAGAGATCTGTGAGCTTTGTGCAATAAAGGCCATTGGGAAAAAGGATGCTAGATATCTCATGATAAATGCACAATAAAGACATTCACTCAGTATGCAGTCAATTAGATTATACACACAAGATAAAAAGGTTATCGTAGCTAAAGACATTTTAATAATGCTCGACTTCACTAAAGGGAGAAAAAAGGAAGTTTCTTCAGAAAGGAGAAGTTTAATACTTTGCAATATAGTTACCCAAAAGGAAGCAAAAATACTAATAAGAAAGTCTCATATCTAGAGAAAATATCAGAACACAGAAACCATCAGTGCTGCAGGCTCCGAATAAAAGGTGGGTTTCATAATATGCATGAATGTCAATCACTAGGAGAGAACGTGCCTTGATGTCTAAAACGATTTCCTTTTAAGATTAACTTACAATTGTTACACAGTGACACATTCTTTTTAATACATAGAGTGCTTCCTATTAATATCCTATCTGACGACTAATCAGTAGGTGTTGAGCACTGACCACCTCACTCCGGAGAGTCATGTTGTGGGCACATGAGCTTCCCTTGCTTATCCTTCAGTGAATGAGGCTTGTTTTCATATCAGTTCTTAATAGGAGATTTAAATAAGGTATTTTGCTCCTGTTTTGTATTTTTCTCCCCACATTTCTGCCTTAGTTGCTATAAATCACGCCATATTTATAGCCTTTTTGTTGTGGCTACTTTTTTTTTGTAACTTGGGCCATTGAATTTCACTGTACTTTGATCATGTTTACAGCATTATTCATTAAAGTGAAAACTGAATTTCAAATTTAAGGCCAAATAATCGAAATGGAATCATAAAGGACTTTTTTTCAAGTTTTGCTATCTTGGGCTTAAATTTGAAATTCATTTTTAATTCTCAATGTTCGTGAATAACACTGTGAGCACATTGGTGTTGCATGATTGCATAACTTTCCATCTTCACTGATCAGTACCCGATGTCAGGACAGGTCAATATTTAACCTCCTTTATTGTAAAATGGGGCTTTTATCAATTCCCACTGACATTTTATTATTTATTTCAACTTTTTTTTTTAATATGTCGGCAGGCTAGCAAATACTGGCCAGCCACCATATGATTAACCATCAAACTGCCAAGTGTTATTTAATTAGCACTGACAGCAGGCTGGATCTGGATCTCTAATATTATTGAAAGCTGTGCTTTGTGAAACTTCAGAATCCAATACTTTGTGTAGGACTCGGATGTAAAAGACATAGATTTTAATCTGGACACCGAATGCATCTGGGTAATTTTTTTTGGCCGACTGAATACTGGCCGTATTTGGCTTTAGTATACTATTTAGCTGTCGATTCGGTTAATTCCGATAGCATGCGCTGAAAAGCGCTTTGAATCCCACTGGGACAAAGGCGCTATATAAATACAAATTATTATTATTATTATAGTATGTATGAGAACTGAGGTCAGAATCAGGTAATTTTCACCAGATTTTGTTAGGGAATAACCCTGTACATATGTGCACTTCTCTTGAAAGTACCAAGGTGCTAACAATAAACAAATACTAAATATTTTAGGGACTTCTGAATGACTGTGTGGATGTGCAGACATGAGAAAGCAATAGTATTAGATTCCTATAAAGCCTGGCTATAAAAATAATTTGTAATTATAATGTAACCCTACAATCAGCCAGATCAGGTAAATCTCCTTGCAATGCAGTTTGCCTACTCTTATCATCCCTACCATACCACAACTAAATAATAGAAATGCCTAATCCAATTCAATTATCCCTTTCACCCTATCAGTTCCTTTTCCATCTTATACAATCAATCCATTGGTTCATATTAGTCCCAGTTCTTCAACATTAATCTTCCTAACTTCACAACACCCAATATCAACATGGCATCACTCTAATTCAGCATCCACAATCTCCAATTTGGACCTTACAAACACACTCCAAGCACCATAACCATTACAGTGTACTGTAATAATGGTGTTAAAGGTGTCCTGGTGCTGCCCAATGTAAGTAGTCAAAAAATGTTTTTGAGCAAATTGACCTCTTACCTGGGCCCAGACGAATGTCACGCCACACCTTCTCTCTGCAGATAGGAGAGCTGGAAGCTCCCAATTAGCTTTCCTGAGATACCTCATTGTCTGAACCACCAGGCTTACAGCTTAACTTAGAGAGCTACAGTGGGTAAAGGGCGATATATAGGGCTATAGTCGATGAAGGGAGCAGCACCTAGTAGATGCCAGGTAAGAAGTCAAACCATTCTAAAATGGCTAGACTACTTACATTGTGGGGGAGGTGCCAGGACACTCCTGGCACACAGTAGTGGTTATGGTGTTTTGTGTTTCATATCTGCCCTCAAGTTCTCACTTGCTTTTTTCACTTGAACTGTCTTCCTCCAATGCTCTAAGACAACATATGTCTAATTAGAGAATAGCTAATTGTGGATAATGAAGGCAGCAGTACAGCTCTAACCCTATTTACCATTCTACCTTATGTCAATGATGCCTGGACTTTTCAGAAATGCAAAAAAAAAAAAAAGAAGAAAGGAGAAGAAAGTTTAGACAAATTCTCCCATTGTCATAAAAGCACATTTATCTGTGTATTTAATATCCACACATAAGTGCTTTATGTCTATCTTGTCTTGTATTTGGATTAAAGGATACCTCTTGCATTCCACAAATCCATGTATAATGAATGGGTTCCACAAAAGAGGAGATCAAGTCCACGTCTGTTTAATAATGAGGGGGTACTACCAATGGCTAACCCTAAAAGGAACTAAGGTAAACTGCAGCAAAGAATCCTTGGAAAAATTATTTTCATATTATCTCTCCAAGCATCTTAAACATTTACAATCCCTCCTCCAAATATAGAATGAGGGAGAAGTTGGGAAAGCAGTACCCTCGTGCATTCTAGGTGTCTTTTGGTTCCTACGTTACTAGCTCCCATTAAAGGTCACCTAAATTATGAGGGAAGAAGAGGACCAAGGCACAATGACATGGGGGAATTACTCCCATATTTTATTTGGGATGTTAAAGGGATACTATAGTCACTAAAACAACTTAATGAAGCAGTTTTTGTGTATAGATCATGCATCTGATGTTTCACTGCTCAATTCTCTGCCATTCAGGAGTTAAATCATTTTTATTTCTGTTTATACAGCCTCAGCCACAACTCCCCTGGCAGTGACTCACACAGCCAGCATGAAAAAAAAAGTAATTTTCAATCAGATGTTAACATGCTTTAGAAGTTTTTATCTCATACTCTGTAATGTGAACTTTAATCACACACAGGAGGATCGTGCAGGGTCTAACTCGTTATTAACATTGAAGGAGATAAGAAATTCTAAATTAATAAGAATTTGCAATAAAGTGTAAACATTAGATCTTACTTTTCAGGTGTGTTTAGGAAGGCTGTGTAAGTCACATGCAGGGAAGTATGGCTAAAACTGCATAAACAAAGTAACACCATAACAGCAGAGAATTGAGAAGTGAGATTGAATGATGATGAATCATGATCTATACACCAAAACTGCTTGGGTTGTTTTGGTGCGTATAGTGTCTCTTTAAACTAGGTGCTTTCTAGTTAGTATTGACTGCCTCATCAAAACTATATACTACTACTACTATATATTTATACAAAGTCACAATATACAAGGCTGGTGGCACATGTTACAAACACCATAATGCCTAAATTATACATAGGAATAATTACATCCCTGATGTAATTATTACAAATTTTATTTATATTGTAGAGTTAACAAATAGTACTAATAAAATATATATATATATTTAAAAATGTGTCTCTGAATTAACAAATGTGTTGGCAGAAAAGAAACAGAATTGTATGCGCTAATGTTGTTTTTCAACATTACAACTTGAAAACCAACATTACAACTTTACAATTGCCATTTACAACATAGACTGTCTGAAAAGTTACTCTACAGAATTTATATATTTAATTTTATTTTTAATAGGCACAGGGCACTTCTACTTCATCTTAAAATATACATCACATTAAGCAACAAATAAAATGAAAAATATCAATACACATAATTATTTGATAATATGCATTTAATTTTTATTTTGTTGTTACAGCTATGAATAACACTACAGGGTCACTAACTCCCAAACATTGTGTACGAGACACCAGGATCACAGAAGTTGTGTTTCCAGTTCTATATACCATTATATTCTTGCTTGGAATAATTCTGAATAGTATATCCCTTTGGATTTTCTGCTACGTTCCGAGCAACACAGTTTTCATTATTTATCTGAAGAACACATTGGCCGCGGACTTCATCATGACGTTGACGTTACCATTCAAGATTCTTACAGATTCTGGGCTTGTATCTTGGAAACTAAAAATGTTTGTTTGTCGTTTCTCAGCAGTGATATTTTATGAAACTATGTATATCAACATCATACTTCTTGGACTTATAGGACTTGACCGTTTTCTAAAGATCATTAGACCACTAGGTAGAACATGGATGGATAAAACCTTTGTAGCCAAGCGAATCTCCATAGCAGTGTGGCTTATTATGTTTGGACTCTCACTTCCAAACATGATCCTCTCAAATGAGAAGGCAACACCACAAAATGTTAGGAAATGTGCTAATCTAAAGAATCCATTGGGTCTCAAGTGGCACGAAGCAATAAATTACATATGCCAGTTTATTTTCTGGTCTGTTTTTCTCTCCATGATCATATTTTATACAATAATTACAAGGAAGGTTTACAAGTCATTTACCAAATCAAGGAGTAAAAATTGCTCTACAAAGCGAAAGACTAAAGCCAGAGTTTTTATCGTGGTGGTTGTGTTCTTCTTGTGTTTCGCACCATTTCACTTCTCACGGATTCCTTACACATTTAGTCAAACAGGGATCATAAAAGATTGCTACCTTCAAAACAAACTGTTCATTGCTAAAGAAATTACCCTATGGATAGCAACCACCAATGTATGCATGGATCCTTTAATATATGTCCTTTTGTGCAAGCCATTTAGGAAACTGATAATGAAGTTATCTGTCACCAGGAATACAAGTCTGGAAACACAAATGAACAATGAATCCACTGTGTAACCTAACAACCTACTAGGCTACACAAGTGCTAATTTCCTGACCACGGCTCACTTTATGATGATAGATACAGAGGCATGCATTTTGCATCTACATATCTAACTAAAATCATTAGCCAACCCCTAGTGAATGGGTTTTCTAAAGATAGAATTATTACTTCATGAAGTTGAATATTCCACAATTTGACTTGTATAAAAAAAACAGAGCTTGATTACAGTTGCCTAGGGCCTTCAGCAGGATACCAGATCATGACCCCCTCTTGGAGCCCTGGACTATTTCCTGTTAGTGCTGTTTGTAGTGGCACAGGGTTGAATGTGTGGGGGAGACTGATTGTTGTGAGTGTGTAATAATGTGTGTAGTGTATTAGTATTGTGTGTGTGTCTGTGTAGGAGGCTGAGCACTGTATAGGAGGAGTCTGTGTGTGTGTTTGTTGATTGAGTGTTGTGTTTGTGGGGTTGGATGTGCTAAGTGGTGTCTAAGTTGGGTGGGAAGTTTGGGTGAGGTGTTTTTCATTTTCCCCTTGCTCCTTACCTTGTTGCTGGAAGGGGGGTGTTATCCCTGGTGGTACAATGGAGCTGTGGATGGGTATGCACCAGTATCTGGTGCAGTTCACTATAAGAGCTCCCTTACGGTTTCAGCGGTTTTGCAATGATTTACAGGCCGCAGAACTCTGAGCTCCTTGTAAATTAGTCTGCACTCAAGGTTCAAACTACATTACTCCCTCTATGAAGTAAAGGGGTGCGGGGCTCAGCAAAGAGACCTATTTAACTCCCTGCCAGCTCAGAGTGGGTACCCTCACATGCACGCCTCTGTGTGTACTAGGCTCTAAACAGCAGGCTATATGGCCTAATGGGTTATCTGGCTATGCAAAAAAACAACATATATAATCAAAGTTTTAATGAAAGGCGTGTAATGCATATAATTTTCCTGAACATGTTTCTTAACTTATGGTCACTTTATCATAATTAGCATATTAATAAGGGGATAATCAAAATTGACACTTCTAGACATCATTATACAATGTCCCGAAGCAAATTGAAGATGAAATAAGATAATATCTACAGGGTTATTTACTAAATTGAGAATTTAAGGTGAATTCAAAGCACTTTTTAAATTTAAGGACAGTGTAGCTGAACAAAAAGCAAAGCTGACTTCTAGAATTTTTTTAAATTTATGCTATTTTGACCTTCAATTTGAAATTCACTTTGCATTTTACCTTGAATTCTCACTTTAGTGAATAACCCTGCTAGTGTTGAAAATGAAAAACAGCATTTGTGACAGAACATTTTTATTTTCAGAATATTTCTAATTTTATAATTAAATGATTGCTAGTTGTATTTTTTTGTTATTTACAATATTAAATTTTATTTAAACAAAATATTATAGTGTACTTGTCATACATAAAAGTGTATTCGATTTAAAATGGGTCCCTCCCTCACCTATCAATATAACTATTTAACACAGAGTCTGTATAGATCGCTGGACTGAAAAAATTTACCCTCTTAGAGGCAGTTCTCCCACTCTCCTGAACAGCAACCACAGCGCATGCACTGTGGTTTCTATGTTTTCTCCTTAGCACTTCAAGCACTTGCTAGTAACGAGTAAGCATCCACAATGAAGTCACCATGTAAACTTCATAGAGGATGGTTTCCAAGCTTGTCCCCACGAAAGACAAATCAAAACTAAAAACCTTATAGTGAATTTATGAGTTATCTCTATGGTTCAAAGATAAGCATAAAAGCAACCCAGCTACCGTTGATAGAGGATGGAAACTTTACCATGGCAACCTGCGGTCCCTTTCTGCCAAGGGCCCAGACATTTGTGTGTTAAAGAAGCCTTTGGAAAAGCTGTAATAAGGAGAGTGAAATACTGATTGAAGTGCCAGACAAATTTCACAAAGCAGGTCTTTGGAAAAATTAATACCAGCACAGTAGCCTGAAATAGATGATTGACAAAAAATGGACAACTGACATCTATGTATTTTGATAACTGATCTGCAAAACACAGCTAGTTCTCTGCTTTTATGAAAACCAGAAAGTACTAATTTATTTGGGAAGTAAGGAGGGCTAAGGAAGTTGCTAATTGTGTTGTGCAACACCCTTTTTCCAGGGTTGGATCCAGAGCCCAAACTCTGGAAGGGCACTGCTGGATTTTGTGACAAATTCAAAACGTGGACACATACAACCACACAAATACAAATGGTCAAGTTTACCCAGTGGCGTACTAAGGGGGGGGCAGAGGGGGCGGTCCGCCCCTGGTGCCAGCATGGTGGGGGGTGCCATGACCAGGAGCGCCAGCCCCCCCATGCTGCAGCCGCCCGAGCGCTCTGCAGAGAGCCTCAGGCGACTGCAGCTTTGCCCGCCCGGGCGCAGCCTGAGGAGAGGGGCTGACAGGAGGGAGCACTCAGCGCTCCCTCCTGCCACTCCCTCCCTGTAGCGTGGCCGAGCGCTCTATTGGTCCGCGGGTACAGGGAGCATCTGTCTCCTGTACCCAGCCAGACTAACAAGAAGTGCACACCAGTACAGCTCACACAAGCAAACAGCTGATAAACTGGCCGCACGGAGGAAAAGTGTATGTGTGACTGTCTGCCTGTGACTGTGTGTGTGACTGTCTGTCTGTAACTGAGTGTGTGACTGTCTGCCTGTAAATGTGTGTGTGGGGCTGCAGGGATTTTGTAGAAGGGGGCAGGGGTTTGGTATTGGGACAGGAGTCTTTATAAGGGGGGATAAGCAGGGGATTTGTGGAAGGGGGTTGCGGGGGTTTTGTAGACGGGTCAGTACAGGATTTGTAGAAGGGGCAGGACAGAGGTTTTGTAGGAGGGGCGGGGCAGGACAAGGGTTTTGTAGGAGGGGCTGACAGCGGTTTTGCAAAGTTTACAAATTGTAAAAAAAAAGAAAGAAAACCTTTAACATTTTTTACAGGTTTTTTTTTTTTTTGGGGGGGGGGGGGGCAAGCACAGGATCCGCCCCGGGTGCCAAATGCTCAAGGTACGCCCCTGAGTTTACCAATATGTTTACAGTGACAAATCGTTACACATATTTAGGCATGACGATTCTGCTATGACACTGACTCTTGCCCTACTTCCTTTCTGACAAACCCCAAATTTGTTATTTCCCCTTTCCTCTGTATGGTTAACAGGCTTAACAAGCGGTAGCCCTAGCACTTTTTTTTTTTTTTTAACACCTTGGAGAAGTCATTTTAGAAGAGTCTGAAGATCCTGCTGCCAGCCAGACATGAATTCTTCGGGCTTCACGTGAGGAGCATTTCCCTTAGTGCTCGCCAATGGATAAAACATACAGTCACAAGAGTTACTTGCGATAATTTGCAGTCTGATTTAACACAGTTCTATGTGATAAAATGCTCTCTTTCTGTGATTGCAAATAAAAAACATTTTCACATAAATAGAGAACTGAAATTATTGCATAAACAAATTTTATGATTTAGTGGTGGAAATTATTAGTGACTTCCCCCCAGTTTTGACTGTGATACATTTTGGGCCCCCTATGTACTGTTTCTATGGTCACCACTGAGGCTAATCCAAACAATATGATTAAGAGAATGTACCCATCTTGTCTATATTGCACAAAATGTTTCCATGCTCACTTAATTCACCACAATTTCCTGTTTTTTTTTGTTTGTTTTTTTAAACACTTAACCATAAACTTAGAAAAAAATCAGTGTACATAATCAGTGTTAGATATATTTGCTGAGATCATGTGTGGTAAGGCTAACTTAAATGGCTGTTTTGCTGTAGAGGTATGAAACTGGTACATGCAAGGCCGGTGCAAGGACTTTTGGCTACACAAGTTTCCTCCAAAAAAAATGCATCTTCACCTGTGTGTCCCTTAATTTCCCTCTGGAATTTCTTAACCTCTTTTGTGTTTCTTCCCTATTTTTTTTTCTTACACTTCCCTTTAGTAAATCTTACACCCCGTTTGTTTTTCCTGTATGTCTCTTACACCCCCCCTTTATGTCTCTTACTTTCCTCTAGCCCCTTTGTGTGCCTCTTACTCACCCAGCTCTTTTTGTGTGTATCTTTCTCCCCCCAGCTCCTCTGTGTGTCTCTTTTTCCACTTCCCCAGCCTCGATGTGGGTCTCATCTACTCCCCCAGCACCTTTGTGTTTCTCTCTCCCCTTACCCATCTCCTCTTTGTACCTCTTCCCCTAGCCCTTTTTGTGTATATCCTTCTCCCTACCCCCCCCCCCTCTATATTTCTTTCACCCCCTTGCCCCTTTGGTGTGTCTTTTTATCCCCTTTCCAGCATCTCTGTATATGTATTACCCCCGCATCTCGTCTCTTTCCACCCCCAGCACCTCTGTGTCTCTTTGTCTCCACCCCCAGCCCGTCTAGGTGTGTCTCTCCACACAAGCACATGTCTCTCTCTTTTGTATCTTCCTCATGCCATCCTGTGCCTGCTCGCAATTTTGTTTAGCATGGCAGACTGCAGTAGAGGAACTTCTGTAAACCTGTACCCAGACTGACAGGAAGCTGTCCGGCGCTCCCAGTGAGCACTTTGTGTCAGACTTGGTGGAGGATACAGAAGTTCCTCTATTATGGTCCGCTTCGCAACACTACAAGGATTGACAGGCTGCATGTGGAGTACTATGTGCTCCCCTTCTGCCGGTCAAACTGGATCTTGCGCCCCCCCCGGCCAATGCACACTAAGGTGGCCGCCTGTTCCCCCTTATGGTTGTGCCACACCTGGGCATATGTACCTGCTCAATGTTTAAAGGGAGACTCTAAACACATAAAGCATTTCAGCCTGCTCAAGTCTGTAGAATCAATATAAATTAGCACTTTTATAATCAAGGGCAGAAACACCTCCCTCAATGAGAAGGCTCCTCTGCTTAGGGTATATGTCCAATGAAAACATGCAGTTATACATTTACGAATGTTAACATTGTAGCTACTAAATAGCATCAACTAAATAGTGAGTTGTTGTTTTTTTGGGGCTATGGAGTTTTTTTAATGACTGGCACCAAACAGGGCTGGAAGTTATGGTTGTTGCTTCTTACTCAAAATGTATTCAAAGGATGTTGTTGTAAATAGAGAATGCAAGATCAGAGAGGAGATTGGCTGCAGGAAAAGCAGAAGATGAGAAGCTTAGGATGAGTGAAGAACAGAGGCATACCTGGTATAGATTTGGACACAAACACTCTCTCCTTTCACTTCCTCATTATCCATACAAAATATGTGTACATGGTATAACATGATTCTGCAATACCAATTCTAGAATTGCCTAATTACAGCTGACCTTTTATTGTACCGTGGTCAAACAACACAGAAGAGCTAATGTAAGGCTCTTTGGAATTTCGATCTTTCTGCTTCTTAGTAAATAGCTCCCTACTTCTTGTGGGATTGCCATAAAGATACCAAAAAGGAGCTTTCTACTAAACAACACCCTAATGTGGCACCCTTACATATGGCAATTCCACAAGGGTACCATTTTAGGGAGGACCTTGTTTCACCAGATAGTAACTGGTCCTTTATAACAAATTACTACAATATCCAGGTTATCCTAGAGATTTGATCCTTTTGTGAAACCAGCAGTGTACTGTTATAGACCTTCTGCATCTAGTTCAACAATCCTGACCAATTTACTTTTATTCACTGCCTAGACATCTTTTTAATTAAACCACTGTCTGGACATCTTTATAATTAATTAAATACTTCCAAGGTTGGTAAATAAATTAACATTTATTTTACTTATTTCCTTTATTTAATTGGACATTTCAAGCACCTCTGTAGTAGTTATGGTACCCAGAGATTCCTTTCTATTTGTTCTCCTAGTACCTAGCTACACATCTCGCCCATGCCTCCACTTGCCATACCGCAAGTGTCAACAAGCCTGCTACACAGTGAGCATCCAGTGGCAGCTTGCAGTAATAAAAAAATAGCGGTAAGATACAGGGGGAACTGGGTAAAGATCACAGGTCACTACTCTAATAAATTGAAAAGAGGGGGACATCCACAATAGGGTCAACCAATTTAAAAAAAAAAAAAAAAGGGAAGCCCTTGTGTCACCCCTCCAACCCCTCATATCCCGCCCATGGTCAGCATGTGGGTGCTCCATTAAAATAAAAAGCAGTGAGGACATCCTACTGTCCTCCTCACTTGCCCCATATTAGTGCAAATTAATTAAGTGCTGAGATGTTGAATGTAGTTCTTGCAAAATTCATTCAGGAAATCCATCTTGTGGGTGTCACAGTGACCATTATGTAGTTATGTAAACACTGCCTTTTGTTCAAAAAAGACAGTGTTTACACTACTGAGTTTGCAGGGACAATCTATTTGCCCTAGAACCATTGAATTAAGCTGTAGTGATTCTGGTACCTTTAGAGTCCCTTTAAAACATTAGCAGTGTATCCACAATAGAGTAGGAAGAGGCTGTTCCCATCGTCCTTCTCAAAGGGCATGTCCCTAAGTATATCAATGTTGGAGGACATCTTCTAAAGTAAGTAGGTTTGTTATCATTGCAAATAATGATCTCATCCTTTTAAAGCATCTGGTAGGTGTTCCTGGATAACCTACTTGTTAGCACGGGAAACATATCAGAGTGCGTAGGACTGAACACAGGCTCAAACGTATCACATTCTTGTGGTCTCCATTCTAGAACTACTTGTGGAATTCTTCAAATATACAGCTTATTTCTATTATTTAAAGAAGAATTTACAAATTACGCTGTATCAGGCTAAATATGCATTTTTAAAACAAGCACCAACATTAATTGCAACGCTCGTAATGTTTTTACAAATCTTTCTTTTGAAACAGGTTTTCCTTCTATGCTCTCCTATTTTATTTGACTTTTTGCAAAACTAAACATTCAAGATAATGTAAGATTTTCTGGTGATTAAATACAGATTTGAGGCACATTTCCTGTATGCACTAAAGGAGGGACACCACATTTATTTGCAGTACTGCAAAGTCTCGAAGATGCTACAGTAGATATGGTGTTGATAAAGTAAGATAAATATATTAAATACTATTTTTTAATCACACAAGGAAAGATAGGTCTGAAAGTGAATGCAAAAATGTCATGACAAGTTACAAATACTTTCTATACATAATTTTGAGCCTATTATCCTGCACACATCCGCCCTACTTTCTTCTGCAAAGCACACCTTACCAATGACTGTTTAATTTTACGGGAGAAGTTCAGACTTGAACTGAATAATTAATTTTCAGGCCTCCTGTACACTTCCTTGTGAGTCACTGTCATTAAAGAGGGATGAGGGTTCTTTAAAGATAAAAGATTTCAGACTTTCCCAGCAGGTGTCCAAAGCACTTTAATCCTGCATCTTCTCTTCTGTTTCTTCTTCCGATGCAATGGATGCTTGTCTCTAGTTTTACAATTTAAATGGTAATTCTAATCACAAGTCAAAAATGACAGAATTATAGGGATTTCAACCAGCCCATGAAAGTATCTTCTATGTGTCTTGTGTTCTCGACATTGAGAAATGAATCATGAGGACCACAATGAAGGTAAGCTGTTACTTCCTTAAATACATTTTTTTTAATGTCCATTTTGTTTTCAGTTTTTATACCTTATCTTAAAGCGAATGAATAAGATTAATACAGAGAATGAGTGGGTGGGGGGGAGGATTAAAAATAGGAAAATAATATTTGTGAAACAGGTAAGATAAGGATCCAAACATTAGACAATAATCGCCAACAAGCTAAAGTTCACAGTCAGGTAAATACAGGGATCGGTAAGTATTTACTTAGAGGAACAGGTATTCACCTGTCTTTTTAATCACTGTTTTACAAAGGCATCAGAAACAAAATGCAGTTAAACAGTTGATAACTGAAACATCTCCAACTAGCAGATTTGGGCCTTAATTTTTTTTAAGTATCGGTTTTACTGATCTCGAAACATTGTTTAGATACAGCATAAAACAAAAAATATTTCATCTTGCAGAAGAAGTTGTTCTGTGAGTGTACAGATAAACAAACACACACAGCATGCACGATAAACCTATTCACAATTACTCTGAAATAAGGAATATTATTAACCAACATAATTATTCAAACTTATAAGTAGTTTACAGGTTTGTTTCTAAAAATGTAAATGTCATGAATCCAAGACAACGTTTTTTTTTTATTCTTTAGTAAGGCATTTTTATGCCATCTTTATTTAATCTTCAACGTAGACAGAGAGTCTGTTAATTTTTCCTTTATTGACTTGTTGTAATAACACAATGTATTCATGATGTCATGTTTTATAAGGTTCCATTTTAGATGTTTAGTTTTGTATAATGTGTTGTGTTTTTGTTTTTTTTGTGTATGAATCAAAATAGCTTCCGTGAAAGTTGTAACATGCCGCAGACCAGTGTTTTATTCAAACATCTCCTGCTGGCTTCGTGTTGGAACACGATAAGTTAAACGTGCTGAAAACACTAATGCCACAATACTTACAAACAACTGGGAGACTTGCATGTGCTTAGCTTCAATTCCTTTCTATGCGTTGCAATGCTAGTATCCACATGCACATACAAATTATACTAGAACACATCAGACACAACGGAACATTGGCTTCTCAAGCTAGATGCATGCACCGAGCAAAGGTAAGCTTTATTTTAACAACAATATTTAGTATTTTGGATACAAAGATTAATAGATTCGCACAGCATGGGGTCTATTCACTTAACAGTTTGTTGCAGTGAGACAGGAACAGGACTGTAAAATAAAGACTAATAGGATGTTAATAGGATAGACTAAGTTTTCAATTTAAATGGTGTATGTTGTGAGCTCATTGCAAATCACTGTTTAGTCAATAGACCACTGTGCTTTATAAAAGTCTCTGGTAATTGCTGTATGACGCATATATATATATATTTATTTATTTGAAACATAGAATGTGATGTCAGATAAGAACCATGCGGCTCATCTAGTCTGCCCAATTTTCTAAATACTTTCATTAGTCCCTGGCCTTATCTTTTAGTTAGGATAGCCTTATGCCTATCCAACGCTTAAACTCCCTCACTGTGTTAACCTCTACCACTTGATCTGGAAGGCTATATATATACATTTACACACACACACATATATATATATATATCCGTTTAATAACTCTGTGGTGAAAATGTGAGTGGCTATAGCACAAGGGTGCCCAAAACGTAGATTACCAGATATTTGCAGAACTACAACTCCCCTAATGCTTTCATGTCTTTAGAATGCTTTAGAATAGCAATGCATCATGAAATCTGTAGTTTTCAAACATCTGACACGATAGCACATTGCTCAGTAGTTTTTGATGTGTTGGTTACTAAAAAAAAACCTATTGGGGTTATTTAATAAACAAGGAATTGATAAGAATTGACAATAGAAATTAATTAAATCTGACAAAATAAATATGTTAATGTATTTATTTTTTAAATTCTCCATAGTTTACAGAACAACTCAAATAACATTACACAGTTGCTTTAAGCAGCTCAGTCACTTTCTGGGGACTTAGGAAATTTTGCATAGACCCCCAATGGTGACATCACTGGTTTGTGTGTGGTGGCTCTGGCATGCGGTTGAACCTCTCAGAAGAAGTGCCAGGAGCCCTGGTCAGTGCTGTACTCTTGCACATGCGCAAGACTACACCACTAATGTCTATGGAGGATGTGCAAGACAGCAGGAGCCCCCATGGATAACACCTTTTTCCACATAGCCGTCACTAGTGGCGTTTGGTAAAATTGACAAAACCTGACCGCTGTAGATCCACATTTTGTGAAGTTTTGTCAACCAGAGGAAAAATACATAAGACAGCATAGTCTATCTTTAGTCATATGATGATGTCAGTGAAATTCCAACACAGTCAATATGAGAATGTCATAAAGAAGATTTTCTCTTTATGAAATACTCGTTTTATTGGAGAGGAGAAGGAGGGAGGGGGTAACAGTGGACAAGATTCTAGAATGGGCAGAACGCTTGTAGGAATTGCTTTCTTTAGGGGCATCATCATTACCATCAGCGTAGCTTCCGTATATACTGGACAGCTAAAAGCTATGGCCATGGACCAAGCCTGTAGTGGAAACATAGCTTGCTCACTTGGCTCATAACAGGTGATTTATTCAATAGCAAGTAAGCCTAGTTAACTTTACTGAAATCGCTGGCAAAGTCAATTTTTTTTTCATAAAACCTATCCATTACATGACTACAATTGCATTTTTACACTAACTGCCATAGTATTTTAAAGGACAACTGTAAACTTTTGTGTAATCTGCTGCCTACGCACATCACAGTCATTTATGTGATCATCGGTTGGTAGCAGAGCTTGTGAGACCAAAGATCACTCAGTTTTGAGGTCCTTGGAGCATGATTCTTTGCACAGCAAAACCTTGGTCTGGTAAGGACTGCTCCAAGGCAAGGATCACTTATATGGCAGCTCTATGGGAGGAAACAGTAGGGGAGTTGACAGTTATCTTTTAAATTTAAAGGACCACTCTAGGCACCCAGACCACTTCAGCTTAATGAAGTGGTCTGGGTGCCAGGTCCAGCTAGGGTTAACCCATTTTTTCATAAACATAGCAGTTTCAGAGAAACTGCTATGTTTATGAATGGGTTAAGCCTTCCCCTATTTCCTCTAGTGGCTGTCTCATTGACAGCCACTAGAGGCGCTTGCGTGCTTCTCACTGTAATTTTCACAGTGAGAGCACGCAAGCGTCCATAGGAAAGCATTGTAAATGCTTTCCTATGCGACGGGCTGAATGCGCGCGCAGCTCTTGCCGCGCGTGTGCATTCAGCCCAGGAGGAGGAGAGAAGGAGGATCAGAGGAGGAGAGCTCCCCGCCCAGCGCTGGAAAAAGGTAAGTTTTTAACCCTTTCCCCCTTCCAGAGCCAGGCGGGAGGGGGTCCCTGAGGGTGGGGGCACCCTCAGGGCACTATAGTGCCAGGAAAACGAGTATGTTTTCCTGGCACTATAGTGGTCCTTTAAAGGAACACTCTAAGCAACATAACCATAAAAAACATCGCTGTGCTTATGGGGCAATTTTCCAAGCATCTGCAGAGGGTCTGGTTTCTGGGTTTCTGTTTAAAAACAAGTGACCATAAATAGCAAAGAATCATAGCACCACCACCTGTACACCTGTACAACAAGCTATGATGCACATGTTCCTTTACAAAATAGAGGGTATTTAATTATTTTTCTGGCTTCTATTATATTTCTGATAAAATGAAAAATATTTCAGGGGCACTTGCCTAAGCAGTGCACATTAAAGGGAAACAATATTGCCAGGAAAACAAACTTGTTTTCCTGGCACTGTAGCTTCCTATAGTGCCTTCCCTACCCTGGGGGACCTAATGTGCATGCAAGGCGATGGCAGGGTTGGCATTAGTAATTCACCCATAGAAGTACTGATGCAAGCACGGCCATCGCTTGTCTGGTTCCAATTACATATTTGTTAGTCCACCCATTGTAAAGCGCTAAGGAATTTGTTGGCGCTATATAAATATAATAATGATAATAGCATGAGGCGTGCAGGGTAAGGTACTAGGGACACTGCAGCCAGACCACTTCAATAAGCTGAAGTGGTCTGGGTGCCTATAGTGTCCCTTTATGCTTATACTAGTGATCCACATGTTTTGACAGACTCACTGCTGTCTGGAAACAGCTCACACTGTAGGGAAGAGAATCAAAATAAGATTGATATAACCAACTGTACAAATTGTCATGTTTTAACATATGCTACAACATGTCAAAATGTATTAGTTCCCTTTTCCTTAGACTTAATCACAGTTCTGTTTTGACTTAAAAAAAAAAAAAACGAAAACAATCCATCTAAATTTTATATGGCTGTGGAAGGGTTGTGCAAAATCCCCAGAAGACACAGTTCCTCTTTAATTCTCCCATGCCATACAGAAAACGATTGCACACACAGCACTTCAGAGCTGTTATTTAGTCAAAGGGTTTGACGGGGCTACTCCCGTGACACCAGAATTAGAGTTCGTCAAAACTGGCACCCAAATTGAAAAGTAAATATGCTTAGTATCTTATTAGGATCAAGTCCCTTCGAGCCTGCTTAAACACTCTTAGTATCTTATTATGAGAGTTATTTTAAGTCTATATATACACATTCTCAGTGTCTAATTATGTCCGAGTCCCTTCAATTTTACAATAACAGTTTAGGCAGAAATGTTTATTTATAAGAAACCCATTGCGGATCTTTTTAAAGACTTAAAAGAACACTCCTGGATGACTTCAGCCCCATAACAACTTTATCTCAGTGAAGAGGTTATGGGAGCTGGAGTCACTGGTATCCATTCTACTTACATGGGTTAAACTATTTTTGAACGATTGATTCCCAAAGTAGGTCCCCAGGTGCCAACAGCAATTCTTCCTGTCTCTTCATTTGGCAACCATACAGTCCAGGAAAGTTTGTCTTGGTGACATCCCCAGCCACCTAAGCAAATATCCCTATTATGTACAGTGGTCAGAGGTGTCTGGCAGGCAACAAGGGGCCAACTTCAAAGCTAAACCATTCAAAGCGGATCTACTTTGGAAGAAAAGATGGTACCCAGGTTCTCCTGCCATCAAAATAACTTAATTGAAAGGAGGTTGTTATGGAGTGGGTGTGTTCCTTTAAGATATGGTGTAAAATGAAACCAGAAATCACATCTACAGACTATAGAACGTTTGTTTGTGTACAATAGCTCAGAAGGCCCTTTAAATAGGTTTAAATAACTGGAATATATAACCATGTAGACAATTTAAAAAGTATATATTAAAAACATCAAATATAGGCACATTGCAAGCACTGCATTTATCACATATGTATTGTAAAACAAATTACCCCTATTGAGAATACACATTACAACTGTTAGTGTTATAAGATAATTAGAACATAACTAATAGACCTATAACCTCAGTAAGGGATCATGAGGCGTCTCAGTCAAAATATATCTGTATTAGTAAACATTCTGTGATTGCTTGTTGATGCACTGTTATGTGCCTGGAATGGCATGTAAGTGAAAATAAAATTCAATACAATTTTTTTTTATTTTAAATTAGCATAATGAAAAGATAACTAAAAATTAACTACTCATTGAGCTAATCTTTTTTTTTTTTTAAACCAATAATCAATAGTGGAGCGCTTGTTCAGTAGAATGAGAATATAGTGTAAAAACCTCACAGAAAATATCTTTAAAAACTGTGGGTATTTTCTGTGTTTTTTTACTATATTCCCTTTTAACCGAATAATCGCTCCACTGTTGATTTTTGCTTTGACCTTAATTGGTGTGTTGGGGAGGATAGCGCACTACAGTGCTACAGCTACCTTAGTTTTTTTAAAACACTGTTTTACACTTATATTCATTAAGATTAATGTTTGTATACTATAACTGTAGTACCCTTCATGTTTTTTTATTAGAACACTTTTTTTTCCTTTGGTTGTACAAAACTCTCAGAAGAGCCTCTTTAAAGCTTATTGTAAAAGTGAAATCAGCAAAGTCTTGGCTAGGTAACTATAACTATTTACTTTAAATGATGAAATAAAACTCTCATCAATGTCAGCCAGTCACTCCGAAGCTGAGAGGCGATTGTGGCACATCGACAACTGTAAATCTGCCATTAAAAAATCCCAACATTCTATATAAAATCCAGTAGCTTTGTACATTTAGTCCTTAGAAGAAATGGATAAACAGTTACATACATTCTCCCATTTTTCTAGAGCTGACAAGAAGAGTATCCTTGAGGAACTTACTAAAGAGTGTTTCTCTACACCAAAGCAATGGAGTCAGAGGCTGACAAGAATTCTCCAGGTAACTAATTATATCGGAACCTTAAATAAAGGTTTCCTTACAAGAACCCACCTCTAAAATATTAGCAGGACCCTCTTTGGAGACCAAATTCCTTTGTCCCACTTTTTTGTCTTGGTTTCCCTCTCTGCTAGGAATGCATTTTGGTGTGTATGCATTTATAATAGAGTTTCACAGTAATAAAACTTGTAGCAACATGTGTCTGTAATAAATTACTACAAGAACTGCATTTGAACTGCTTGAAAAAAGACCTAACCTATGGGCACACCAAGGAAGTATTTTGGCTTAGAGCAAATGAGTTGGACACGGGGAGTAGCATGGGGTGATGCTAGGATTCAGGATTTTGTTGTTTTTTTAAAATAATTTTCATTTTAATCTGTCTTATTGGATGTGCCACTGCTCGCTGAACATACATGCCAATTCTTACAACACCCTCAGCTGTTAAATTAAATTCTAGTCAGCAAGCTGTTAGTTTCATTCCTGGAAACCATCATGGCACGGATGCTAGCAGTAACCCGTGCCACTGGGTTCTTATTCCAGTCTACAATAGACGCTGCAGATACTGGGTTGCAATAACATGTTACCTGTTGATATGTAGCCCACTAAGGGGAAAACAGGAAGGAGTTTGTGCTAAAGCATGAACAGTTTCCTTTTCCATCACTAGACACTTCAATCAGGGCCAATCCTAGGGTCACAAATGCCTGGAAGCAGAATTATTATTTTTTGGCATCCCCAGGTGGGTGTGGTCTTACTAGTAACCCCTCCCATTTGTGAAAGTCCAGGCATGCATGTTTCTCTGGCGACAACTCCCCCTCTCCCTCCATAAGCCCCACCCTTTTTTGCAATCAGACACACTCGCTGAGAGACACACACGTGCTGTAATTGAGTGTGTGTTTTTGTCTGTCACTGAGAGTGCTTGTCAGTGAGAGTATGTGACTGTCAGTGAGTGTTTCTGTCAGTGAGTGTGTCTCAAATCAGTGAGAGTGGGTGTCGGTGTGTCTGTCAGACAAACTCTCAGTGATTTGAAACACACTCACTGACAGTCATAAATTCTCACTGACAGTCACACACTCTCACTTACAGGCAGACACATTGACACACCATCTCAGTGATTTGAAACACATTCACTGACAGTCATAAATTCTCACTGACAGTTACACACTCTCACTCACAGACAGACACATTGACACACCATCTCAGTGATTTGAAACACACTTGCTGACAGACACACACTATCAATGTCAGACGCACACACTTACTGATATGATACACTCACTGACAGACAGACACACAAACATTTATGCACAATTTTTTTATTTTATTTTTTTTTAGCCTTCCTGCCTTTGGAAGATCTGGTGTGGGTCCTCTCCCTGGGGTCCAATGGGGAATGGATCTGCTCCCTGGAGTCCAATGGGGAAAGGATCTGCTCCCTGGGGTCCAGTGGGGAATGGATCTGCTCCCTGGGGTCCAGTGGGGAATGGATCTGCTCCTTGGGGTCCAGTGGGGAATGGATCTGCTCCCTGGGGTCCAGTGGGGAAAGGATCTTCTCCCTGGGGTCCAATGGGGAAAGGATCTTCTCTCTGGGGTCCAGTGGGGAATGGATGTGCTCCTTGGGGTCCAGTGTGGAATGGATCTGCTCCCTGGGGTCCAATGGGCAAAATATCTTCTCCTTGGGGTCCAATGGGGAAAGGAACTTCACCCTGGGGCCCAGTGGGGAATGGATGTGCTCCCTGGGGTCCAGTGGGGAATGGATCTGCTCCCTGGGGTCCAATGGGGAAAGGATCTTCTCCCTGGGGTCCAATGGGGAATGGATCTGCTCCCTGGGGTCCAGTAGGGAATGGATGTGCTCCCTGGGGTCCAGACCAGTGGGGAATGGATGTGCTCCCTGGGGACCAGTGGGGAATGGATGTGCTCCCTGGGGTCCAGTGGGGAATGGATCTGCTCCCTGGGGTCCAGTGGGGAATGGATGTGCTTCCCTGGGGTCCAGTGACTCCTGTGTTTTTCAGGCTCCTCACTGCTCCCTCATGGGGCTGGAGTGATGTCATTCCTGCTCCCTGCATCACCAGAGAGGGAGCAGTGAGGAGCTGGAAGCGCATCAGAGCTCCCTCACTGCCGCTGCCTGCCTCCATTTTATTATTCTTTTATTTGTGTGTAGATTGATGTACAAATGAAAAGGGAAATTTGATGCACTGCACCAGCCTACCTCCTCTGCCCTTCCTTCCAAATCTGCAGCATTAGAAACGATCTTTAAAGTAGTCACATTTATCACATAAATGTTATATCCTTTGGCTTGCATGGCTCACTATCACTAAATCACTGAATGGGTTAAAACCTGGATCATTTATTAAAGATTTCTGATAGGTTGTTTGTAACGTTGTAAAAGACTGTGCAAATTACCACCTACGTGCTGTGTATTCATCTTAAACTAACACACCCAGATGGGTTGCAACATGACTGGTGCAATTTCCTCTCACTGTAGAGATTATGCTAAAATCCCAGTGATTTACTGTCAGAAGGACTTGAAATATATACCTGGCCAAGACGTGCACACTGAATGCATTGGACTATATATTTATTAGGGGAAAAAAAAATCGCACACTGGTATTGCACGGGAATAAAGAATAGGTATATGCTGGATGGTATACATGTTCAATGCCCTTTAAAATGAATCAGTTCAACATACTGAGGTTGTTCTAGGATTAGGTATGAAACCTGTATTTCATCAAAAAAATATCCAAGTTTATAAATATCAGTGTTTAAATATACTGAAATATTTAGCGAATACTTTAAACGGGGTGATCGTGCGTTGCTTTCACTGTGGTTCTTCAAATGTCAAGTTGATTACATTGTGTTCTGCAACAGTGTAAACTTGGGTTATTTAATTATATATTAAAATATTCAACTAATAAAAGTATTTTATACATAGCGAACGCCAGTATTAGGTAAGTCTGAAATTTTGCCACTAAATGTATGGCATAATCTATTAAAGATAAACTATATTAAACAATGTATCCATGTATAAATTCATGAATCAATATTATATGCACTTAAGGGGGTGTCCAAATCGAAGGCGAAGGTGATTTTCAACACCCTGGCGTAATCAATATATCAAAACAATAAACATCAGAGTGTACAAATTATGCTAGAAAATATACATTACATTTAATTTTCAATGAAAGTGTTTAGCTCTTATATACTATATGTAAGGTGATGCATAATAGATTGCATGTGTGTTCCCATGAATAAACCAGGAAGGAAATTTGATCTAAGCCTAACCTACGACATTAACATTTTCTGCTGATTTTATTAGCTCAATGTATGAAATGTATTGCTTAGCTAAAGGGGATCTTGACATCTAAACAATTATAGATGACAGGTCCACTTTAAATAAAATTAAAATGTGCTGTAGCAAAGTAATTTGATGTTTTGAGTGACATGCTATTTATTCCCCCTCTGGGATTTCCTCTCACTTGGTGAAATACCAGGTTAAAACGTCATTATTTCATAACCTGCCAAACAGTTGTGTAATCCAGCTGTGATTAGGTATTTTCTCTCTCCTGTGTCGGTTTAGTTTATTTGAGCAACACGCAAAACATTACCTCCCAGGCAGACACAACCATCTCTGTGTTTAAACTGCAAAGCATTAAAGAGTTAGAAAGCTCTAAATGGGCAGATACTGTAACCGATATAGAAAATTAACATTGTTTTACTTATAATTATTTCCAAAGCATTACACTATATAATAATAATAATTGGATGTAAATGGGTTAATGCCATACCTTAACATAATTTGTGAAAGTTAATAACATTGTATGGTGTTTATTTAAAATAGTATGATTAATATTTTAGTGTCATTTGAGTGTAGCTGTAGTGGCAGCTGTAGAGTTCATTAAGTGTGCATAGTGAAATATCTGCAATAGGTTAGGGTAAGTGGGGACTCAAGGTGCAGCATTTTCTGTGTCCACAGGAATTATTTGGAGCAAAACATTATACCTTTTTATGTAATGATTTTGGTTTACAGCAAAAGGTAATTTTTTTTTTTTAATGGGTCTATAGCACCACTGCATGCAACTAATATCTGTCGTCACTCTTGAGCATGCCTGAACTGGCCTTCAGGCAAACTGGGCTAATAGCCAGAAGGGTATGAGGGCCATGGATGAATCAATGACTCTGCAGGGGCATGATCTATACATCAAATCTACTTCATTAAGCTAAAGTTGTTTTGGTGCCTAGAATATCTCTGTAATTTAAAGCGGCACTGTCATGCCGAACTTACCTTTCCCCAATCACTTCTTCTTCTCTCCCTCACTCAGTATCTGTTCTTAATTTCTTCCTATCTGCTCTAGTTTTCTTTAAAACATAAGACAAAGTAGGAACTATTTTGTCTTATGTATTTTACCTACGCTTGCCCAGTTGACCCAGGGGAGGAGCAAAGTCTCGTCCGTTTCCTGTGGTCAAAGCAATTTTCTCACAATTCTCACCTTCCTCCGGCTGCTTTATTTGGCGTTCGAACGCTGGCGAAACTACTGATTTCGTCCTAACAGAGTGAGAACAGTTCGTCCATTCGTGTTAGGATGAAATTTGGCAGTTTTTGTTGGTTCGGCATTTAATTTGAATGAATGAAACTCTGATCCTATTAGTGCCGCAAGTAGATAGCTCCCTAATTCCCACAGCATTAGGGAGCTATCTTCTAAAAGGCTGAAAGACCTAAATTGGTAATTAAGGGATATTACTACTCCTGCCCCCAACCCCCACACAAAGTCCCCCCCTATTGTAATTCTGGGCCCCCACCCATTGCTCACGACAGTGCTGCTTTAACAGTCTATCTATCTGCTTTACACAAATGATTTTATTCTCGCATGGAGTTATTTTTAAAAAAGAACTTCAATCAAGCCATGTGTCATGCAAGTAAAAGTACTTTAGAAATAGGTTCAATAACGTAAAATGTGATTTTTATATTATTTATAGTAATACGTAAAACTACACGCTCACTGTAATTATTATTTGTTTTTGTTTTTTTAACCCTTATCCATTACTAAACCCCAATACTTTTTCTTTCATAGGACAATCCTACAATAATGAAACTCCTCCCGGAGGAAACTCAACAGCTTTTCCTGAACTTCTGCGAATCATGTTTCCTGTGCTGTACCTGGTGATTTTCCTTGGCAGTGTCATGCTAAACGGACTAGCAGTATGGATTTTTTTCCACATCAGGAATAAAACCAGTTTTATTTTCTATCTCAAGAACATTATGGTTGCTGACCTTTTAATGACCGTGTCTTTTCCATTTAAAATTATATACACGTCTGAAGTGGCATCATGGAATTTCGATGTCTACTTCTGTAAATATAGTAGCATATTGTTTTACACAAGCATGTACATCAGCATTGTGTTTCTTGGATTGATAAGTATTGACAGGTACCTTAAAGTTGTAAAACCGTTTGGGAACTCTAAAATATACAGCATCAAATTCACAAAGATTGTGTCGGCATGTGTTTGGCTCTCCATGACTTTGTTTGCCTTACCAAATGTCATCCTTACAGACAGCCAACCAACTGGAGACAATGTAAATGACTGCACAAAATTTAAAAGCCCTATAGGAGTGAAGTGGCATGAAGCTATTATTTATATTGATATGTTTATATTCTTCACTGTGATGGTTGTGTTAATCGTTTGCTACATTTCAATATCCCGACATATCCAAAAATCCAGCAAACCATTCATCAGTTGCTCAGGTCGAACGCGGAGACATAACCAAAGCATACGTGTCGTCGTAGCTGTATTTTTTGTCTGCTTTTTGCCCTACCATCTATGTGGAATACCTTTTGCATACAGTAAATTGGATGAGATTCTAGACAAACAAGTCTACAAGATTTTACTCTACTGCAGAGAAGCAACACTCTTCCTGTCTGCATGCAATGTCTGCCTTGACCCCATCATTTATTTCTTCATGTGCCGATCATTTTCTCAGAGGTTGTTTAACAGATCGAACATTAGATCAAGGAGCGAGAGCATTCGTTCTCTTCAAAGTGTACGAAAATCCGAGGTGCGCATATACTGTGAATATACGGAGGTTTAAGCTGGGTATTTCATTGTATGATTACGTTTTATGTATATAGTGATGAATAAAATATTACATCTGTTTTTTAAGCTGAAACATCTGTGTGTTTGTAAAGAAACTCAATTATACAAATAGCAAAATACCAATTAAGCAGCAAATGTCTATTGCTTTCAAACAATAGCAAAATACAAACAAAATTCCTCAGATCTTGTTTCAGTTTTATAAAACTTTCAAATGAAATAAAAAAAAACTTAAGAGCCGCAGAATAAGACTAAAGATTTGAATATTTTACCTTTAAATATTACTGTGTAGTAAATGAAAATGCATTTTTAACAACTAAATTGTATTTTGAGAATGAATACTTATTTTCAGAGCATTTTTATGGTGTGCTCTCTAAAAACAGATGATGTAGGAATGTACAAGAACCCCACTCTCAGTAAACTAGAGTACTAGAACCGTTGTGTTACTGAACACTGGAAAATAACTTGTGGGATAGTTTTAGACTTTGCACGTTTTGCTTATAAATCAGACACTTACGTTGAATATTCAAATTAAAGCACAAAAACATTTCATTATGGTAATTTCAATGCAGTAGATGACAAGAGCACGAGGAGAGCAGGAAGTATAAAAATCACGCGTAAGACCTGACACATTACAGACACCGGATAGAATCTACATCAATCCCACATCCTCCATAGACAAGTATAGCTGAGGCAATGCAGGTTTAGAATATATATATATGACCAGACAGAGGTTTAGGTATGACTTGTAAAATAACAATTCTGAGGAAGGATACCAACAACATATTCTTCTTAAACACGCCAAGCACAAAAAAAAAAATCTACTCTTCTTGCAAAGGTTAAGAACTACAGCAAGTTTGCAAAATTCATTGCACTTTTAAAATAATTCTATAAGCACCATGGTTATAGTGTTAAGAGTGCACTGATACCCCCAATTGTAAGGAGTCAAATCATCTGAATGCCACCTCCAATACCTAAGCAGAAACTTCCATTATATTGTTGAGCACTATGCTATATATCTAAAAACCCTCATATATGCTTACAATATATTTTCATTTTATTTTGCATATTTAAAATGCATTATGGTTACTGTACATGCGCAAGACTACTGCATTATTACAGAGTAGTGGATACAGTCATGCACTCAGTGCATGAGCCCTCTGTACTTACTGCACTGCCTGGTAGAACAAGGGACTCCCGAACCCTTGCAGACACAGCAGATGCTATGGAATGTAACTCCTATCATTTTAGGCAAGACTTGATAATGGCAATTGCTGTCCCATGCATCTTGAACAAATTACAATTCAATTCATAGGGATAGTCGTCTAATCTCACGTACCCTCGCAGTCTTTTTAAAAAATGGCAGCTTTATAAACAGTGCAGTAATAATAATTATAAATACGGCGTCAGTCAAACAAATCTTGACATATAGAATCATTTAAATGGAAAACTTCACACAGCGTATTTTATAATTCTCAGAAAATGTTAGGTATTATTGTAATTATAAAAGCAAAAACCATTACCTGTGCACTATCCCAAATCCCTATTCACACTTAAATATTGTTATAGCTTAATAAATATTAAATATTAATTATTATGATTATGTTCATAGAATATTTAATTGCCAATATATTCTAATCTTACACATCTCCAAGAACATCATGCAGTTGCGAATTTCAGAAACTACCAAAAAAAAAAAAACAAGGATACTTTCTATTTATAATTAGAACATAAAGGGAGAATGGAAATAGTTTATTTGCGATATCTCTAATAAATGATGTGCATAGCACAAGGAGAGAAATGACAAATGGGTTCTATTCTCACTGTGCTGTATAACATTATCTACACAAGGAGTGTGGCGGGTATCTGACTAGTACCCATATTTTAGCTCCACTAATAGCAGGGCAGATTCGATTATTCACTGTATCTTATGCATAAATTATGTACATATAATAAATGCATACTGCAGTTGTGTTGAGTCACATGGTTGCATCCTGCATCATACAATACAAAGAAACATGCCGGCCCTCCTTGGCCAACTTGCTGTGTAGCCTGTTATCTGGCATGACCCTTAGCAGCTGGGTATATTGCCAATTCCAATGCCTCTCTTGCATCACCTGCCCCAATCTCATACTTTCTAAAACTGGCAATTATGATATTGTCATAATAGAAATATATTTTCCCATTATTATTCACCAAATATATATACTTCTTTCTAAAGCAGTTTGTATAAGCATTTGCAAATCTCATCTAGATAAAAAGGAGCTATATACGCACAAGGTTCAACTGAGTAAAATTATTACTTGGGCAGACATTATTGCAATATTGTAATGTGTATATTGAGAAAATCCTACCATAGAAAAACATTACATTTTACTAGAATTGTGAAAATAGAGACGGGAATTGCTTTCCCAGCCAAATATCCCTATCCTCTAGTTCACATTAGCGACCAGAACTCATGCAGTGTATATTCCTGAGAAAACTAGCAGTTCATTTTTAGTAATTAATGTTTATTCAATATAGTTAAACCTTTTTTTATTAATAAAAACAAACACAATGTCCAGTGAAAAGCAATATTTACACATCATGACCTCTTGTCTAACCATAAACATTCTGTAGAAATGAGGTTCTCTCAGAAACATGACGATTGGAACATGCATCTGCTATTCAGAATCTCAGAATTGTAAAGAAAACATTGAAAAAAATATATATTAATGTATTAAAAAAAAAAATACATGAAGGTGCATGGGAGACATTATACACTTCGAAACAGGACTGATAGGGAAAGTACTAGAAAAATCAGATATAACATTTGTTGGAAATTCTTTGACAATGGATGTAAAGACTAGACACATAACCCCCAGTCCCCATTCAGGACCACTGTCCTGCTTTAGATTATTCCACAATTCCAGATTATGAAAAATAATCAATGACTATGTAGATGCATTCGGACCACAAGATTCAGACAGTGATCACAATAGTTTTGAAGTTTCAGGTTTTACAATATTGATCCTGAATTAACACAAATTTATTCCAGTCTGGATGCAACCGAACTCCTCAAATCTGAACCAAATTATGGAAATGTGTAACTGAATTCCCAGTTCAATAGAAATGGCGACCATCTGCCTGCAAATTCATTTCAACAAAATTTGCACTATTGAGGCCAATTTTATTAATAGATACCACTAGAAAAAAATCTGCGATTAGCACAAGTGCAGTAAAAATCACTAAATTGTGCTCTACTAATCTTCTGAGTACTTATACCCTTTTGGGTCACTTTACCCCACTCTCTCTAGCATGCAAGCTCATTGAGCAGGGCCCTCAACCCCTCTGTTCCTGTGCTTCCATTTGTCTGGTTACAAATACGTGTCTGTTAATCCACCCATTGTACAGCGCTACAGAATTTGCTGGTGCTATATAAATAATAAAATAGTAATAATAATAATAACTGATTCATTCTGTCTGGGTTCTTAAAGGAGAACACACAAGATGGTATAATTCTGTCAATGGTCCTTAAGGGGCAAAACATTTTTTTAACCTTAGCCTTTAGCCTTCTGGCTGCCAGTGGCTAAACAAAGAAGAAACCTGTAGATTCACCTGCAAGAAAAAGGTCTATTTTTTTTTTTATAAATTTGTCTGTTGCAGTATTTATTCAGAGTGAATCAAGTCTGAATTCATGGGATTATTTACTGAAGTAAAAATGTGAAGTGAATTTTAAATTTAAGGTCAAAGTAGTCATATTGTAAAAATTCTTTGTCATCTATACTTTCAGCTTGGCTACTTTTGCTTAAATTTAAAATTCACTAGATTCATATGTTACAAAAAAGTAACACTTGCCAACACAAATGCGCATCAATGTCTTATTTTAAAATATCATTATATTCTTGCTGTTTGTACATGCGAAAAGTTCCCGAAGGCTGCTTAAATCTATTTCAGGGCATTTTTCGCCATATAAAGGTATTTCAGCAGTATTTCGTACATTTGCAGCACTGGTCCAAGGCCAACCACGACTACCTTTCCAGCTGAATTATCCCAAAAGCTTCTCCCCAAGAATGGCTTCGCCCTGTCTGCTTCATAGTTTTTCAAATTTGGTGGTTTGTTCATGAGCGTATAATGGGCATTACAGTTGATACGATGTTTATAAATTGTTATATTTTTTAATTTTTCAATTTTTATGTAGGAGTTATTGAAAGTATTCTGTACTGGTACTTCTCTTAACCGAATTCTTCCTAATATAGAATTTCTGACACATTTTTCCAATCAAGGATCGCACCAAAATTATTAAACAACAAAAAATTTTAAGCGTGCACTCCATAATGCTCCACCATGCCTAATATGATTTGGCGTCACCTCAAAATGAATAAAATTCCATATACACATTAACTAGGTAAATGTCTAGCAGATTTATGGATGAAAAACTATTCAGCTATATACAGTGTGAAGCTTTCCGGGCTTCACGGGCAAAACTACAATGGATGTCCATGGGTGCCGTGCATGTAGCCATCACACCTTGAAATGATATGGAAAGTATAATTCGATTGTATTCTTGAAATCTAGAATGCAGATAGTTTAATTAGTAAACAGGTGACTGTGTTTGGTTCACTTCAGATGTTTGGAGAAACTAGCTTTACATAAATACCAACAGTCCAAAAAAACAATCCTACATTTTGGGGTACTGCCCCAGCCAAAACCGGTCTCAAGGACATATTGAAAACTGGCCAGCAGTTCAAACCTGCCATGCAGACTTCAAGATGCAGAAAGGCACTAGGCAATTGGACCATGAGCACTTCACGTGGATGCCATACATGTCTGGGGAGAAGGATGTCAGGCAGGTAGATTTGTCCCTTCCTGCAGCCTGCTCTCTTGCCAACCCACCAAAGATGGGCAGCGATGATGGAAAGGTATGCAAGTATATATTATAATGCATACAGTTGCAAGAAAAAGTATGAGATGCTGTGGCATGACCTCAAGAAAGCGATTCACACCAGACATCCCAAG